GGTGGTGGTGGTGGTGGTGGTGGTGCAGCTCCATGACTACAGCCCCAGAAAGACCAAAAAGAAAAAGGATTATGGATGTTCTGGGTCTGGTATCCTCAGAGGGTGGTGTGAATGGCTGTAGGAAAGGCTCTGCCTGCTCAGGTGCTGGTGGCACTTACGGCTAAAGCTCCCTTTGGGGTTTGGTCAGAATTTCAGGCAAAGCAAAGAGAACTTCTCTGCTCTTCTGCCCCAAGACCAGGCAGGAAACACAATTATCATTTCACAAAGGGCAGTTGGTGTTTTTCATTTGCACTGGGATGAAAAGAAAAATTAAAAAAAAACCATCCTGACACTGAAGGCATTTTTTGATGGCTTGGTGTGCAAAACCATTTCCCTTATGGGAACATGCCTAAACACAGCCAGGAGCCATTCTGAGGGTGGGAGAAGCAAATACAGAGAGAGGCAAAACCCCCCTACAAGAGTCCCCCAGTGGCCTCATGACTCAGTTCCTCCCTGATGTCCAAAATGTTCCCATTTCTCCCATGCCTGTTGATTCGAGTGGGGGATATATTCCCGTGCTCCCTGGGCCTTTGCTCTGAGGAATGGGACAGTTTGCAATCAGCAGGACTCACTGGCTTCACTGGGGACTCATTTTCCAGGGATAGCAAGTTCTGTGCCAATAAAATCTGCTCTGAGGCCCAAGCACTGCTTTTCACAGGCTTGATTTTGCTCTACAAACCCAACCTTGGTACCCCATCCCCCCCCCCCCTTCCCCTGTCCCGGAGGTGCTTTGTGTCCCCCCTCGGGGCTGGAGGGGTGTCCAGGGAGGGGGGTGTTTTTCCTGGAGCCGGAGGGTGGCACTGCGGCCCCTCCGCAGGCACCGGCATCGGACCGGGGTGTCAGCGCTGGGAGCGCGGTGTCCCCACGGGGAGCGCCCGGGCACGGGCACAGCCGGCGGGGGGGGGACCCGGTCCATCCCAGGGTGCCATCGCCCGGTGGCTCCAGCCTCCTGGAAGAACGCTGGGATTAAGGTAAGACATCACTCTGCTTTGGGAGGAATGCACATCCCAAACTGGGACGCCCAGGATCCCTCCCGACAGCCCTGGCCGGGAGAGGTTCACCGGCGGTGGGGATGGGAACGCTGTGCCTCTGCCTGATGTTTCATTCCCTGCCTGCATCCTCTGCTCCTCCCGGGACTGCCAGGCCGCCCTGCCTGTGTGCAGAGGGTGCCCTGTGCTTGCATCCCCCTCTTTCATCCCCGCTCCGGGAGGTTCCTGGCTCTGCAGCTTGGGGAATTCACCCTCCCCGTGCCCCGGCTCGCTGGGGCAGTTTGTTTCCTCCCTTCCCTGTGCAGGCAGCTCCAACTCTGCCCAGCTCCTGCCTGCACAGAGACCAGCAGAGACTGGTCCCACAGAGCCCCAGGGATGCTGCCAGTCCCACGGTCCTGGCAGTGAAGGAGAGCCAGGGAGGGACTTTGGACAGGGGCCTGGAATGACAGGACAAGGGAGAACGGCTTCCTACTGACAGATGGCAGGGTTAGATGGGATATTGGGAAGAAATCCTTCCCTGAGCAGGGTGGGCAGGCCCTGGCACAGGTTGCCCAGAGAAGCTGTGGCTGCCCCTGGATCCCTGGAAGTGTCCAAGGCCAGGTTGGATAAATCGGGGCTTGGAGCAACCTGGGCTGGTGGGAGGTGTCCCTGCCCATGGCAGGGGAGTGGAATGAGATTGTCTTTAAGATCCCTTCCAACCCAAACCCTTCTGAGATTCCATGATGCATCCAGCATCACAAGCCCAGGTACCTCAAACACTCCAGGGTCCCTCAGGCTTATCCCACCCTGTCACACCAAGAATCCATCTTTCCCACCCAAATTCATGTCGTGAGTAGCTCTGGGTACCCCAGGCTCCCATTTCTGTGCAGGGGGACAGGAGCAGTGCCCTTGTGCCCCCTCAGTTCTGGGTTGAGCACCCTGGGGTGCCCCCAGAAGGGAAGGAGCCACATCCCAGAGTTTCCACACTCCTGTGTCTCATTCCAGATTTCTCTGGGCTCTAGGCAAAGTAAAACCAGGCATGTGCAGCTATCACAGGCTTCCCAGTGGTGACAAAGCCGGGCTTGGGGCAGCTGCAGCTGCTGGAACCCACCAAACTTCCTCTGAATTTCCTGCTGCAACCAAGGGAGCAAATGGAAAGTCCCCACAGTCACAGCAGGAGGACGTTCCCTGTCCCTCCTCTCCTCACCAGCCAAAACCACTGACCCCTGGATGTACAGGGGATGTTCTTTTCCCATGGATAGGGGCTGTTGCTTTGCTGCTGAGCTCCCAACAGGCTCCTGGTGCAATCCCTGCCTTGCAGCAATCCCCTGGGAGCTGACATGGGGCTCTTCACTCCCTCCTTCCTTTGGCTTTATCCACTCTGAGCCTGGCTGAGGCTCCAAGTCAGCAAGAAGAGCCCTGGGGTTGGTTTTTAGCCGAAGAAATTGAAGTTACACCTCCCAAAGCACACCTTTGGCATCCCCTGTGCAGAGCTGATTCTGCACCACCTCTCTCCCAGAAGCCAAACCTGTGCTCCTGTGTTGCCTCCTTATTCAAACAGTCTTGAAGAGAAAAGGAAAATTATTTTGAGAAGCAGAACTGAGCTTAGGAACATCACTTCCCAGCTCCCTGGGTGCTCAGGTCTGCAGTCTTGGCCCTGGTTTTATGGACTGTGTAGGATTGTGTTGTATGGATTGTGTAAGAGCCCGAGGGTGAGGGGCTGGAGGCAGGGGAAGGGGATTGTCTCGGGAAATCAGCAGGGAGGGATGGCAGGCTGGGGAGGAGAGCTGCTGCAGCTCCACCAAAGCCCACACCAACACTGGAAAGTTCCCATGGGGTGTTTTGGGACAGCAGAAGGGACACAGACAGTGGTGTTGGTGACCCCGTGTGGCTCTGGCCGTCCCAGCCATGGGATGCTCCTGGTGTGCAAAGGAACGTGGTGCTGGTGCAAGAGGGTGGGTGTGGGGGATGGAGAAAAGACTGACAGACACCCGTCGTGTGCAGGCCAGAGGAGGAGCCACAGCCGGTGCTGGGTGCTGCACAATGGCAATAACGTTCCCAAAGAGCCACGGGCTTGGAGACAACGTTGGCAGCGGGGTTGGCACCGACTGTCCCCCACCCCCCGCCCTCGCAGTTGTCCCGCCGCTCTTTCCAGTTGCCTGTCACTGCTGGGAGACACCGGCGGGGAGGTGCTGGCCAGGGTCGCCTCCACCTCCCCTCCAGCTCCCCACCGTCCCATCTGGTGCCGCAGCCAGCCCAGAGCCACCTGCACATCTGGGACACCGCGACCCCGGCCGGGAGCATGGCCCGGGTGGGCACGGGGTGGGGAGGGTCCCGTCGGGCAGGACCCCCGGAGCCCCGGGAGATGTGGCTGCGGGGGCTGCAGGCGCCGCCGGCCCCGTGATTGGCGAGGGGGGGCGAACTCCACAGCTGAGACGGGCCCAGGCTACCTGAAGGACCCCGCATGTCCTCAGGTTTCACTCATGACCATCTGACAGCAGCGGCAGCTGCTCTGCCAACAGGCACTCGCGGAGCCAAAGCCTCCTCCAGGAGTCGAAGGAGAGGGAAATTTCTGGCCCTAAAAGGTCTCTCCTTGGGATTTCGCTCTCTCTCCACCCAACAGTAAGTACTGGGTTAGGCCCTGGGCTGCTGCCTGGTCACCCGGGCAGGGTCCACGGGGGCTCGGATGTCCCCAGGTTTGCCATTCTCGCTGTGCCTGCAGCGGTGTAAGCAATGCCTGGGGCTTTGCAGCCCGAGTGCCGGAGGTGGATGGGAGCAGGACACCCCCCCGAGTCGCTGGGGTGGTACTTAGGGCTGTAGGCACCTGCTGGACCCCACTGCGTGGAAAACAACCCGTGAGAGGGGAGAAAGTCCCCTCAAAGATGCAGGCAGGGCAGGGGGAGGAGGGTGCCAGCAGCCAGGGGTCCCTCAGTGGCCACTGACCTGTGCCAGGACGAGAGGGGACGGTCAGGGACGTGACGGGCGAGCGGTTTCTGAGCCACCTTCCCACCCGGAGCGAGGGAGCTCCAGGCAGGGCTTAAAAGTCACAAGTCGCCTTTCTCCTGGCTTCTCCTCCTGGAGGTCTAAATATAAACCTCGCCTTGGCCAAGCCAAGGTTGCAGGAAAGGTCTGCGGGTGCTTGGTAGTGTCTCCTTTTGGGAAGGCACCTGTCCCTGCAGAGCCACTGTCCCCCCGTGGGGCAGCAGGGAGGGACCCCCGTGGGGAGAAGGGAGGAGTGGGATCCCTCTGCCGTGCTGGAGTGGCAGTGATGGGATGGCACAGAGCTTTGGAGGCCTTTCACCCCCGCGGGGGCTGCGGGGGCACAGGCACAGCCTAAAGCTTTGGGGTGCTTTGGGGTGCTGGCTGAGCCCCCAGTGCGGGGCTCAGGGCTCGTATCCTCCCACGGGATGCAGAAAAACAGGCAGTGCCAGGGTGTGGGGTATGATTTTTTTGGGTGCTGTTTTCCCCCATGTGGCTGTGGCTGTGCTGGCTTCCATCACTCTCTGCACGGGCAGGAACCACCGGGCACCTTGGGACATTCTGGGGTTTATTCAGGGGCAATCAGCCCCCCTGACCCCACCAACCCTCACTGCTCCCTCAACTCCCCAGAGCCAGGGCTGAGTTGCAGAGTGAAGTTTGCAGATAAGCACAAGCATTTCCTCCCCTGCCCACACTGCCGCTGATGGAGTTGTCAGGGATCAGACTGGGAATGTGGCAGGCGAAGGATTGAACTTCAGGGAGGCAACAACTCCATAAAGCCTGGGGAACAGCAGGAAATCCCAGTCGGCCCCATTATACAGGAGAGATCCTGAGCAGATTGATGCTCTGAGGGCCGGAACTGCCTCCTCCAGTCCTTGCCAGGAAAATGCCTGATTCATAACGGTTTTGGGGCCAAAAGAGCATATTTACAGGAACTGGTTAAAGAGCACAAAGTCCTGCCTTGACTCTGTACTGCTAATATTTGAATAGCATTTTTTGTTTTCTGATGTGGGCGGAAGGGTCCAGATCAGAACAGAAGGGCTCTGTGGAGCCTCGTGGTCAGCTCCCACTTTGCTCAGGGAGATTTGCTGGATTTGGGGTAGGACAACATGCGGCAGCAGGTCAGGAAGAGACATCCATCATCGTTTCTGTTTCCAGGTTGGACTTATGAGGTCGTTTCTGTGTAGGGGAGGAAGGGGGAGAAAGTGGTGGATGTTTTGTGGAATTGTGAGGGCAAAGATCCCAGCTCTAGCTGCGGAGATAGTGGGAAGGGTGCTCGGGCTCTGTGCCTGTCCAGCTGCCTCCTTCCTTGGTTACTCACACAGCCCTTGGAATAGCTCATCTTTGGGTCTTCATCTCCATGTGGATTTGAATGGGACCCCTTGGGAGCTGGAGGACAAGAGTGGTGGTGTGGGGGTCAGCACCCAGAGGGCTGTGACAGCTGCAGGTGCCCCGTGCTGGTCCCGATTTTCAGGGTGTCTGGTCCAGGGTATTGGGGTACAGAGGCTGCCATGGGAAAACTGGCATCCTTCAGCCCTGGGATGCTGCAGGGATATTGCAAATCCCAAAGGAGCAGCAGGTCTGGGAGCTGCTCCCAGCGCTGTGTTGGTGATCCCTGTGGGAGCTGGAGTCTCTTCTGGCATCCCCTGGAGGTGCTGCATCGCTGCCCCCCTCCCATGCTCCCCGAGTGTGGGGACCCCGGGGGGATAGCAGGTCACTGCAGCTCCACGGCATCCTCCCTTCCCCCACGCTGTGCCCTCGCTGCCTTCGCAGCACGGCTCAGATCTGTTCCAAGCCTGACACGAGAGCTGCCGGCAGGGAGGAGCGGGAGCTTTGGGTGACACCCGAGCGCGGGCAGTGGGCAATGGGAAAGCGCAGGGTCCCCTCTTTAACCCTTCCCCCCTGCTCGAGCCTCCACCTCGGCCAACCCCCGTCCCCCCCCCGCCCAAAAGAAACCCAAATCGCCCTCCACCCCGGTGTCTCCCCTTTCCAGCAATCCCCTCCCGGGGGTCAGCAGGGACAGCGGGATGGCGGGAGACGGGGGCACGGGGTGGCATCCCCCGCTCCGGGCAGGAGGGGGTTAGTGCGTTGCTGCGGGGTGTTGCAACCTCCTATTTCCATCTGTGGCCGGGGAGAGTATCCCAGGACTTCACAGCTCCCAGGCTGTGTGTGCCACCCCCGCCCCCAGCACAGCAGGTACCCTCGGGTGGGCCGTGGGCACACGGGCATCGAGTGCCGCAGTCCCCGGTAACTCCAGGCCGGCAAAACTCAGGGAGTTGTAGGAAATTAATTTCCACGTGGCTGGTGGCACCTGCAGGGCTCACAGTTTTCTCTGCAGGGCTCATAATTTCGGGGGGATGGTGGTTTATGCCCCGGGGGGCGCTGGTGCCCCCTCAGTAGGTTGAGCATTGAGGATTTGACTCTTCGTCAACTCAGCCAGTGACAAGATGGGCTCAGCTGTGTCTTTCCAAGGAGCTGGAGCCAGGGAGCAGCACCTTGTTTGGCAGGTGCAGAGCACTCATGGTGGTGGGGACCCCATGGAAGGTGCTGCTGCAGTGGGCTGTGACACTCAGGATTTATTCATCGTGTCCTTCTCCTCCTTGTAAATCCCCCAGCGCTGGCACAGCCTCGGCTCGCTGGTGTCCTTGTCCAGAATGCATCACAAGGATGGAGTGGGTTGGCTGTTGCCAGGAAAGGGGCTGGAGAGTGCTAAGAGCGCTCCTCTTGGTTTCCTCAAGACAGGCAGTCTCCAGCAGGCAGAAAACAGCAGAGCAGCATCACTCCCTTAGCAGAGAAATCGTTCATCATGTGCTCAAAATCAGAGTTGTGGAATAATTGGAGTTAGAAGGGACCTTGAAGATCATATTGTTTTACTCCCCTGCCATGGGCAAGGACACCTTCCACTAGCCCAGGTTGCTCCAGGCCCAGTCCAACCTGGCCTTGGACACTTCTAGGGATCCAGGGGCAGCCACAGCTTCTCTGGGTAACCTGTGCCAGGGCCTGCCCACCCTCACAGCCAACAATTCCTTCCCAAAATCCCATCTAAACCTCCTCTCTGTCAATAGGAAGCCATTCCCCCTTGCCCTGGCACTCCAGGTCTGTGTCCAAAGTCCCTCTCCACCCCTTGAATTTGGCCCACACAGCCACACCAGGGGTGTGTGACCTGTGGTTGCACACACTGAGTGGCCTTGGCTGCTCTGGACCCAGCTGGGGGACTGTGGTGGCATGTGGGGAGCAGGAATGTGCTGCAGCATCCCAGTGCCCCTGTTCTGGCTGGGGAAAGGCATCTCCTGTCGCTGGGCTCACTCTGGAATTGTTTTCCAAAGGCTTTCAGGCCATGCCTCTTGCTGGGGGTCGGGTGGATCGCAGCAGCACAGACTCACCCAGCGCCTTGGGATGATGGGTGCTGTTGGAAGCATCCCCACATTCCTGCTGGCCCACTTGGCTTGGGCCACCCTTCAGGCAGAGCAACAAACCCACAGGGGGTAAAAAGCCACGGTGGTGGTGGCAGGAGTCAGCACAGGGGACGTGTCACTGACGGCAGCCAGAGGTGTTTGAGCCCCCCAGCCCAGGGGGCTGCCCCGCTGAGGGCTTTAAAAACCCCAGGAATTCGAAGGATAATGCTGAAAAATGAAAACCTAATTTTTTTTTTCTCATTCTCTAACTCTGCTGAGCCCACTACTCTTTGATAATAGAGTGGGGAAAAGGGTCGGGGTGACTCCCAATTTCCTCACTGATATTGTTTTCTTCTTGTGAAAACTGAGCCCACTCTCTTTTTACAGCAAAGCAGCCTAAAAATACAGTGAATTTCTAGACCTGCCACAGTGGTGGAGACCCAGCATCCCACAGCAGTGCTGGTAGGAACCATTTGTTTGCAGGAGATGATTTTGGAGACTTCCCTTATCTTTCCAGATGGTGTTTGTGATGTAGTCACAGCAAAGCACTAAGGGATGACAATTTATCCAGGGATAGTAAACATCAGACTCTTAAATGGCTCATTATCGTGTTACAGAAAGGGATGTAAATTTGTTTATGAAATGGCTCGTTTTGTCTGGCACAGATGAGGGTGTTTATCTGAGTTACTGGTAGAAATACATACAATCCTGAAAACAATAATGTGGCTCCAGGCCCTGCTCAGCAGCCAGTAAATCACCCACCTGCAGGACTTAGCGTGGATCTCTCCACCCCCAGTGCTATTTCTGGACAGAAAAAAAAAACATTTTAGATTTTTTTCCGTTATCCCACTTTTTTTTTCCCCCAACTTATGGAAATTACAGTAGGAAATAAACAAATAAATGCTTTTTCAAGCCGTGGCATCCCATAGGACCATGCTGGACATGGGCAGGGACACCTTCCACTAGCCCAGATTGCTCCAAGCCCCATCCAACCTGGCCTTGGACACTCCCAGGGATCCAGGGGCAGCCACAGCTTCTCTGGGCAACCTGTGCCAGGGCCTGCCCACCCTCACAGCCAGGAATTCCTTCCCAATATCCCATCTAGCCCTGCCCTCTGGCAGTGGGAAGCCATCTCCCCTTGTCCTGTCCCTCCATGCCTTGTCCCCAGTCCCTCTCCAGCTCTCCTGGAGCCCCTTTAGGCCCTGCAAGGGGCTCTCAGGTCTGCCTGGAGCCTTCTCTCCTTCAGGTGAACCCCCCCAGCTGTCCCAGTCTGTCCCCAGAGCAGAGGGGCTCCAGCCCTGGAGCAGCTCCGTGGCCTCTTCTGGACTCGCTCCAGCAGCTCCACATCCCTCTTATGTTGGGGGCCCCAGAGTTGGATGCAGAATCCCCCCCTCACCTGCTGCCCACACTGCTGGGGGTCAGCCCAGGACACAGCTGGATTTTTGGGCTGGAATTCTCCTCCTGGGCCGGTGGGGATGTGCAGCAGGGAGCGTGGATGGTGTTTGTGGCAGCACTTGGGACACATGTCACCAAGAGCCCGTGGCTGAGCTGTGACTCATCCCCAAACCTCTCAGGGCCAGCTGGTCCCAACTGCACCATCCTGCCCCACCCCGGGGTGTCCCCATGGGGATAAATAAACGGGATGCAGGGGGTTGGGTTATCCCGTGTGCTTCAGCCTCTGGGTGCTGGTGGGGGTGGAAGTGGGGCCTCCCAGGACGTTCTGGGCTGCAGGGAGCCAAGGAGGGGGTGCTGCAGGACTGTGCTTTGCTTGTGCTGTGTGGGTCTGGTTTCCTGAGCTGCTGGGTGCTGGCTCATCTCCCCTGGTGCTAACACAGCTCCCAGAGTGTGGGCCAGCCCCGGGCTCACTTGGCACCATCTGTCCCCTGCTCGTTTCCTTTGTCACACGAGAGCCCCTTGTTCCTCACTAATCCCTGCTCCAGGGCCCCCGTGCCGGGCACTGGGAGCACTTGGCTGAGCATCACCTGGCTCTGCTGGTTCTTGCTGAGTGAAGCTGATTTACACCTGCTCATGGCCATTCTGGTTGTTTTCTCACTCGGATTTAAGTCCCCATTGGTCCCTCTGGTGTTTTTACAGTGTGTCCTGTTATGAGGCTGAATCTTGCAGGGCAGGTTTACAGGTAAACTTAACTTACACCTCCTTGAGCTGTGTTGGAATGCTGCAGATGGTCAGGGGGTCCCACTGCTGTCTCCCAAGTTCTGGGTATCCGTAGGGCTGAGATCTCTCAGGAGCAACTTGTCTTCACTTGAAACACCCCCAGCTGTATCTGTCCTTATTAACCCAGGCCTGAGTATGGTGGGGAAACAACTGCATCACTCTGGACTGACTCCCCAGGAGACTGCAGGTTTGCAGATGCTCTCCCAGAGCAGAGGGAGGAGCAGAGCCCCAGGGCCAGGGTGACCCCAGCCACTCTCTGTCCCCCACCGCCATGTGTTCATACACAACAGCCAGGAACATCCTTCCCCCTCTTCCTCAGCCCACGGGAGGTTATTTTACTGTGCAGGGGTGAAGTGCCAGCTCTGGGTGAGGTGACTGTCCCAGCAGTCTCAGACAGGACCCTGCCACCCTCCCATCTGTGCTGGTTAAACAGAACCAATTACGCAGCATCTCTGGTACCTCCCAGACCACCCCTGCTATTTCGGAGGCTGATTCATTTACGTGTTGCCTCAGAGCACCAAAAATATCAGAGGAAACTGAATTTCTTTCCAAGTGGAGGCCAGGCACTTCTGAGCAAGAAGCTGGTCCCATCTGCCTGCTGTTAATTGCTGATGCTGAACTGGGGAGGGGGTGAGATGCTCATCCATGGTGTGCCATAGGAAGAGTGTCCAAAAGCTGCAGCTCACGTGTGTCACAGCAAAAAAAAAGGAGTTATCCAGCTCATCTGGGCTGCCCAAAATTTAAGAAGGCAATAAATAGCAGATCAGAGCTTTATGACTGATTTCTCAGCAGGACAATCAACGGGCAGGAGTCTGCCTTTAATTCAGAACCCTCACAGGTCCCACCCAGGTCTTGGAGAGCTGGGGCAGAGCCCCGTGGGACCAGGGGGATGGGAACTGGGAGAGGCAGAGGGGCTGGGCTGAGCCCCTCACACAGCCCGTGTTTGGCTCCTGGCTCCTCTTTTTGGAAGCAACAATCGACCAGAGATGCTGGTGGCTGCAGGGCTGTGGGGTGTGGGAGCTGGGCAGGGGCTTAAGTCCTGGGTTTGATCCCTGGAGTCATCCCACTATCTCTCTGTGGTCACAAAGGGGTCAGAGCAGGACCAGGTGCTGCAAAAGACCCCAGAAAGCCACGAAGCATTTTCATACTCAGGGCAGCATCCCCTTTGAGGCCTCCCCAGCATAGCCTTGTGGGGTGGTGCCCACGCCCAGCATCTCCCTCCATGGCCCTCCTGGCACCTTCCCCTCCTTTCTGCTCCACGGAGCGCTGGCTCTGCCTCCCTTCTCGCCCACCCCCGTGCTCCCTGCTCTCCATCACCCGAGGACAGAGCTTTCTCTGTCTCTCTGACCCCTCAGCCCCCACACCCTGTGTGGGCACGGCACGATGGCTCCATCCCAGTGGGAGGAAGAGCAGACACGGGCAGGAGCAAAAGCTGGCGCTGCTCCCTCCAGCTCCCCTCCTGCTCTCTCTCTCTCTCTCTCTCCTCCTGCCGGGAGAGGAATGAGCAGAGTCATGGGGCTGCAGAAACCTGAGCCCGGCGCTGATCGCTGGTGGCAGCTGGAGGCACGGCCACCTCCGCCGCGCCACGGGCTGGGCACGGCGAGGGGACACGGCAGTGCTTGCGAGTGGGAGGCTCCAGGAAAAGCGTGGAGCCTGCAGCGCCCCGTGCACTGAAGGGCTGGACAGCAGCGATGCTGCCGGAGGGGCCGGAGCCCCACTACGCATCCCACAGCACAGGGGTTTCCTAACGGCTCTGCAAGAGTTTCCAGGGAAACTGAGGCTACCCGGTGCAACAAGCTCCTGCGAGCCCTCAGAGCTGCCAGAAGGTGGGGTGGGAAGCACCCCCGTTGGTCCTGCTTGAGCATGTTTGAATGATGCTCCAGGGAGTCAGACTCGATGGGTCCCTTCCAGCTGGAGGTGGTGTGTGATTCCATGCCCCAGTGCATCCCTGGTGGGACTTAGGGTGACAGAGCCAGACGCAGCCCCAAGTTCTGCCTTGAGCTTTGAGGCCACCGGTATCGAGGAGCAAGTTTCTAGAGGTGCCCAAGTGGAGCAGGGAAATGGGTGTCAATCCAGCATAAATAATTCCAGGAGGAGCAGCAGTGGTGGTAGCTGCTGCCCCACTGCCCAGGCACCATCCCATCCCCTCACACGTGGGGGAAAAAAATCTCTTCTTGCTGGCTTTGATGAGGTCCCACCTTTGGGTCCAGCAGGAGTGGGGTGAGATGGGCTGTGCCCTTCCAGGGTAGCTGCTCTGGGCTCTGTTTTGCATCAGTTTGGGCCACAAGTTGAGTTGGAGCTGGACTCCACTTTGCAGTGATGGGACTCAGTTCATGCTAATAAATAACCCTGTACAGCAATGGCAAAAGCCTCCCTAAAACAGAATCACAGAATCCGTCAAGTTGGAAAACCCCTCTGTGATCATCAAGTCCAACCATTCCTCAGCACTGCCAAGGCCACCACTAACCCATGTCCCCAAGTGTCACATGTACATATTCATCCCCCAGGGATGGGGACTCCACCACTGCCCTGGGCAGCTGTGCCAGGGGTGGACAACCCTTTCTTGTGGAGAAATTTTCCCAATATCCCATCTAAACCTCCCTGGCACAGCTGGAGGCTGTTCCCTCTCCTCCTGTCCCTGTTCCCTGGGAGCAGAGCAGAACCCCCTGGCTTCCCACTCCTGTCAGGGAGTTGCAGAACCAGAAGGTCCCCCCTGAGCCTCCTTTTCTCCAGGCTGAGCCCCCCCAGCTCCCTTGTGCTCCAGACCACAGATTTAAATACAAAAATTGATGCTCTGTCCACTTGATTTTGTTTTTAGAAGTTGCCCTTTCTGAAAGGCAGCAGGTTGCTGCCATCCCTGCAAGCAGCTGCATTTTGAATGAGCATCAAAGCCATGGTGCCAAAATTTAATTCACCAGCGACAGCAAGGGACTGTGGTGGTTTGTAAAATGCAGCTCAAAATCAATACCTCCCTGTGCCATTGCTTTATCCCCTGGCTTTACCATCACCACAGGAACGTGATGCCATTACGCTCCCAGAGTCTCTCTTCCCATCAGGACTATAAATGTCCAGTTCTCCCTAATCTCAAAGGGCTGAGGGTTTGCAGCTCTCAGAGCTGGGGTTCTGAGGAGTATTGATCCTAAAGTTTTTTGGGGTCAGGTGCTCGGCAGCATCCTGGAAAGTTTGGGTTGGCCAGTGGGGTGCTTGTTTTGGGGAGGGTGAGGCACAGAGGTTCAGTGATCCCAGTATTCCTGAAAAGCAGGATTGAGCAATAAGGAATATTGGGCTCATCTCCAGCACAAGCTGGTGGTTATGGCTCAATAGCAAGGCAAATAAAAGTGAACCAAAGTACAGGGGCTCAAGGCAAGAACCTTTCTGGTGCTGAGGAACTTGGTGTCAGGCATCTCAGCCTCTCTCAGGGCATGGCAGACACATCCACCGGGTGCAGCCACTCCTTTCCTCCCCACTTTCCCCTCTCCAACAATGTTGTTGTTGTGCTGCAGAGGAGCCATCCTTAGATATCCTAAACCACCCAGCCTATTCCTGCCTGGGGATCCATCCTGATCCTTGTAACATTAGAAAGTGCCATTATTGCTTTGCTTTTTGGCCCAGGATAAGACTTTAACCCCTGCAGACTCCTTGTGTTCCCCATGGCTGGGTGCTGTGAGGTGGCCATGAGCCCTCAGGACCTGGATCCTCTGGCTGAGGAGCCTTTTCCTTTGGGCACCACAAGTCCCTTGCACGAGGAGCAGCAGGAAAGCTGTCGATGCCCTGCCAAGGGGAGGCAGCTGGAGTGGTGCCAATGCTGTCAAAGGTGTTTTGTTTTGTTGAACAACCACGTTCTAGGTTGTGAAACTTCGTGTCTAACACATTCAGCTGGCGCCAGGGACACCAACTGCTCGGCTCATATGGTGCTCAGCTTCACAGTGCCTTCTGATCAGAGGTGGAATGAGGGTCTGGGAGGAGAACTAGCTCACTTGGTGCTCTAACTAACCCTAAGCTCACCCCAGCCAGGTGAGGGAGGGGATTGTCCTGCTCTGCTCTGCACTGGGGTGGCCTCACCTGCAATACTGGGGCAATTTTGGGCACTTGGTGTGTTCAGGTGGAGGAGACTGAGGGGAGACCTCACTGCAGTTACAACTCCTTTGGCAGTGGCAGAGGAGGGGCAGGCACTGATCTCTGTGGGGATCAGGGACAGGAACCCAGGGAATGGCCTGGAGCTGTTTCAGGGCAGGTTTAGGTTGGATCTCAGGGAAAGGTTCTTCCCCCAGAGGGTGGTTAGCACTGAACAGGCTCCCCAGGGCAGTGGGCACAGCCCCAAGGCTGCCAGAGCTCCAGGAGGGTTTGGATGATCCTCTGGGGCACAGGGTGTGACAATGGGGGATGGTCCTGTGCAGGGCTAAGGATTGGGCTCCATGATCCTTGTGGGTCCCTCCCAACTCAGCATATCCTGTGGCTCCGAGGAGGAACACGCGGGATGCTCTGCCCGCGAGCGACCCACACGTAAATAACCCTTCCCGCCAGCCCAACGTCCCTCCAGACAAACCCACTCGCCAAAACCTGCCATCACCCTGAGCAGAAACGCCCCAAACCCACCCACCCCACCCGCTGTCCCCCCAGGCTGGGCGCGGGCGGCCCGGAAGCAGAATGCGAGGATGGCCAGCCTGCCCTTCATCCCGGGCCCCGAGAACCTGCGCCCCTTCACCCCGGCCTCGCTGGCCGCCATCGAGCAGCGCATGGCCGAGGCCGAGGCGCTCCGGATAAAGAGGCAGCAGGTGGAGATGCCCGAGGAAGAGGAGGTCAAGCCCCGCAGTGACCTGGAAGCCGGCAAGAACCTGCCCCTCATCTACGGCGACCCGCCCCCCGAGCTCATCGGGACCCCGCTGGAGGACCTGGACCCTTTCTACAAGGACAAGAAGGTGAGGGGGAAAGCTTAGCCCGTGGGGTGGACTTGGTGTTAGATGCAAGTCCCAAGAAAAAGAGCAAAGTAGAGACCTTCTCTCCCTTTTGTCTGGGTCTCCTCTTGATGATCCACAGCCCCAGACTGTGATTGCTTCTCCCTGTTCCTTGGGGAAAGCCCCAAGACTTGAGAGGTGCAAACATGCGTAGGGGTCTCTCCTCTGACAGCAGCACTTGGTCTGTGGGTGTATCAGGGGTGTGCAGAAGGGTTAACCCACCTCCTTCCCCTCTTTTCTCCACAGACATTCATCGTCCTCAACAAAGGGAAGTCCATCTTCCGCTTCTCGGCCACCCCTGCCCTCTACATGCTGGGGCCCTTCCACCCCATCCGCAGAGGAGCCATCAAAGTGCTCATCCATTCATATCCTTGACCTCTGGGATGCTGCTCTGCTGGTCAAACCCTGGTGCTCAGGGTGCAAACAGACCTGGGAGAGGGCTGAGAGAAGGGTTTTATTGATGGTGTGGTGAGGAAACCTCTTGGGCTGCCCCCCCAGCATGGCCAGGACCCACTGACCAGCCGACCAGCTCTTCAGGAGTGGGGGATTGGAGGCTTTGGGCACCTTGGTGGCACCAAGAACTTGGTCTTGGTTGGAGAAGGGAGGAATCTGTTTGTTTGAAGAAGGGGAGAAATCCAAATGGTGGAGCTTCCTAGGAAGGGATTGAAGGTGTTTGAGGTCTGGAGAGACTTGGAAAGGAAGGGAAATGTTTACAGGTCAGGGGATCCTGTCCCACCTGGGAAGTGGGTGGGTTGGGGAGCTCAAAGGATTATTTGGGAGAGGGAAGGCAGAGGAACCAGGACATTGCAGTGCAGGGGAGGAGACAACTTGGGCAGTGCTGGGGCTTTTGGTGTGAGACAAGCAGAGATGGAAAGGCAGGAAAGGACCCCAGGAGCAAGAGGGGCACTGGGGTGGGTGGGAAGTGATCCCAGCAGAGCTCTGGTGGCAGCAGAGGTTGGTGGCCAGGAACGGGGTATAAAATGAGGGGGTGTTTGTGGCAGAGGGGCCAGAGAGGCAGGGAAAGCTGTATCCTGGGGTGATGGAGAGGAAGGAGCACAGAGGGGCAAGAAGGGGGGCAGAGCCAGCACTGTGGATCTGGGAAGGGGAGCAGAAAGGAAGGGAAAGAGGCCAGGATCACACATGGGAGCAGGGAGTCTAAGGGAAAAGTGTGGGCACAGGAGGAGCAGGTCAGGGTGAGGGAGCAGGCCAGGCGGGAGCCAGGACAAGAGGAGCAGGGATGCTTGGCCTCATAACCGCAGGAAGGGGATGATCCAGGCAACAGCCACAGCATTTCTCCTTGACCAGGTTTTAAATTATTCAGCATGTTCATCATGATCACTATTTTAACCAACTGCGTGTTTATGACCATGAGCAACCCCCCGGCGTGGTCCAAGAATGTGGAGTAAGTCCCTGTGACCTCCCCTGGCCATGGGGGCCACCCCAGCTCGGCCATCCTCGGGAGGGACAGGACCAAGGCTGAGAGAGGGGGGTGTTGAGTTCCCAGCACCCTTCAGAGCAGGAGGGGTGTCCCTGGAAAACGCTGGTGACCCTCTTGATCTCAGCAGGAATCTACATTAGGCATTGCAAAGAGTGTTTCAGAGCTACCCAAAACCTGGTGGGGGCCCTATGATGGGAGTTCAACCTGTAGAGCAGGTTGGGTTGGGTCATTAGTGACGTTCTGGAGAGGGTGAGCAGATCCACGTGTCCAAGGATCATGGACACCCTGTCCCAGGTGGGAGGGGGATATCCAGCATTTCCTGCTGTGGTTCTGCACAGTCAGGTCTCAGCGGGGCTTCACAGAGAGTACGGTGGGGCTGGGACATCAGCAGGCATCAGAGGTGTTGCAGAATAATCCCCAAAGGAATGGGTACCTCAGGATGCCCCAACTTACCTTATGAGGTGAGGTGAAAAACTCTCCCAGTGCTGAAGCACCCCAGAAATCCATCAGCCCCCCAACCTCTGCACCCCAGCGTGGTCCCATTGCCAGGGGTGGACAAAACCTCATCCAGAGCTGGCCCTTGGACCTAGGGGAGCATCCCCCGAGTCACTGCTCCCGTTGCAGATACGCCTTCACTGCGATATACACCTTTGAGTCCCTCATCAAGATCCTGTCGAGAGGTTTCTGCATCGACGACTTCACATTCCTGCGCGACCCGTGGAACTGGCTGGACTTCATGGTCATCTCCATGGCGTGAGTTCGGTGGGATGGGGGGTGACAGGAGGTTTGGACACTGCTGAGTGCCTGGCAGAGACCCTGAAGCCGTTTCCCTCCCCTGTCCTGCAGCTACATCACCGAGTTTGTGGACCTGGGGAACATCTCTGCTCTCAGGACCTTCCGCGTCCTCCGCGCCTTGAAAACCATCACTGTCATACCAGGTGGGACTTGAAGAAGGACTCTCCCTTCTGTGTACTCCCCTGAGCTCAGACATTCCCACCTTTCACAGCAATTCCTTGTTCTTTTGACAGCTCTAGGAGAAAACAGGAAATAAGGTATTCCACACCTACAGTTTTCCACAAAATTCAGCTTTTGGGTTGTTTGGCAGGGAAAGCCCCTGATGAGCCAGACATCATTTTTAGGGCTCCTTGGAGATACCTTAAGGGGGTTTGTGCCCACAGTGGGTTTGTGGGCTCGATAAACCAAATAGTTCAATTCTTAGAGCCACGAACTCAGTTTTGTCCCCACTGCTGAGTTTGCTTGGATTGAGATATTTAATGGGTATTAGTGCAAGAGCCACGTGGTGAGTGTTTAATATCAACCCAAACCTCCTGCCTGTGGTGTGAGGAGCACGTTATCAGTTATCTCTGGTGGCTGTTGCCCAAATCTGATACCACCCTGCTTGGTACCAGCTGATGCAAGCCCACAGAAAGGATCACTCAGACCCCTGGAGGAAGCACGAGACTGAACTGAAACTGATAATCTCTTGTGGTGAATAAATTCTCATGTCCCTGCAGCCTCCAGATCTTTAGGGTTCACATTTGAACATTTTTTTGCCTTCACCAAACAGGCTAAAAATTGCATTCAGCAAAATGTAAACTGCTGCTTTTTTTTGGGGAACGACATCCCCCAGAGGCCCTGCAGAAATAGCAGTTGCAAAAATAAGCTGGTATGAGAATGGCTGACCTTGGCCATTTCCCAACACAGACAAACCCTTGAAGGACAGGGTTTTTACCTAAATAGTTTGGGGAGCAAGGAGCTGGCACGATGAGAGGGCTGAAAATCATGTCTTTGGAGAATTGCCTCCACATGAGAAAGCTCTGTGCTCAGAGAAGCTTTCAAGATCAATGCTGGGATGTGCCAGCATCACCCATCACCCATGCAGACCTTGGGTGATGGGAACAAAATCCTCCATGGCAAAAGCCCACTGAGGATCTGTAGACGAGCCTCCCCTGTGGAGGAAACAGCTTGGGATGTTGGGAGGGGGAGATGAGTTAACCCAGATGCTTAATGCAGATGTCACTTTGTCACTTTCACTTGGACAAACGGGGGATTCTCCAGCTGGAAGGATCAGGATGGAGGGTCTGGCTGGGCTCCTGACCACCCATGGGACAGCAGCACGTGTGGTGTTGGACCACAGAGGCTTTCCTGGAGCTGAGAGAGGTGCTCAGCATCATCCAGCTGGGCCAGCAAGAGCTTTTCCATGTGCCAGTGTAGTGGTTTGGGCCAAAAAAAGGGCCAGGTCATGACATTTGGGGCAAACAGGAAGTCCAAAGGAATTGACAGGCCGGGGTGAGCTTTGGCTCGTGATATCCCAAGGTTGGGATGGGGAGGCTTGGCCAGCACCGGTCCCAAGGGGAAAGTTTTGGGGGAAGGGTTTTTACTGCTCAGCAATGTGTGGGGACAGGCAGACAGCTGGGATGTGACATGGGACACAGAGCTGGGGGTCTGAGCACGTGCGAGGGGAATTTGGTGAGGCCACACATTCCCCCACCAGATCCGGCAGCTTTTGGGAACACCACAGCACGTTCCCCCGCAATTGGCAAGCGAGCAGTTAGCTCAGTGGTGATACAACTTCTCCTCAGGGCTGAAGACCATCGTTGGGGCTCTGATCCAGTCGGTGAAGAAGCTCTCGGATGTCATGATCCTCACGGTGTTCTGCCTGAGCGTGTTCGCCCTGATCGGCCTCCAGCTCTTCATGGGGAACCTCCGGCAGAAGTGCGTGCGGTGGCCCCCCCCCAACGCCACCTTCCTGGGGGACCTGGAGCTGGACAATGACACGTTGGTCAACTCCACATTTTACAACTTCATGGATGACTTTGCCGGTAACTTCACCGGCAACTTCACCGGCAACAGCACCTTTGATTTCGAGGCCTACATCAGTGATGAAGGTGAGTGAAGGCTCGTGCAGCCCCTTCTCTCCACACCCATCACCCTGGTTTGCTCCTCTGTTTCCCTGCTCTTCCCATGCCAGAACAAGATGGTTTGCTCACAGGGATCTTCCTGCCAAGGTGCTTTGCATGGAGATGTGGCTGGTGGGAAAACGGGTTGTGCACACACACAGGAGGCACAGATGGGATGGAATCCACCTTGACAGGGAAAATGTGGTCCTCCTGGACAAGCTAAACTCCTCCAGAAATGCTTCACCATTGGATAAACCAGTGTCTCCACCTCTCACTGGCTAGTGAGGGCACAATCTCCCACTGGGGTGGTCAAAGCAGGGAGACCAAACCCTGCAGGGACAGATGGGACTTCAGGTGGAAATACAGAGGGAAGGATGCAGGAATGACATTCCTCACCCACTTTCACTGCTGCATCATAGCTGGGTCCTTGCCCAGGTACCACAATGTCCCATGAGCATTGCAACACCACCACAGCCACAGGAGGGGAAGGAGGGAGAGGTGGGACCAGCACAGGTCCTCAGACAGTCCTCCAAAACTGCCCTTTTCCTATCCCTTCTCTGAAAATTCTGTCCCAAAGTGTGGGGGTTTTTTGTTTGCTCTTCGGTTTTGAGGTTTTAAACTCCATGAAAACGTAGAAATCTCAGAAAATCCTCCTGGCAGAGGTGTGTGGTGGAGGGATGGTCCGCAGGAACATTCCACATCTCACTTGGGACCCGTGGCAGAGCTCAGAAGGTCAGGTTATGTCTCGGCATTAATTACAGGAAGGCTTTTGGTAGGGGGGCAGATTCAATCCGTAGGGGGCAGGTGATCTGTGGTGGCACTGCTTGGCAGCTCCTGTGGCTCTGGGTCTGCCCTGGAGTTCTGAGGAGGAACTTTAAGGAGCCCTGGTGTGCGAGCAGGGTGAGCTTCTCCAGGAGGAAGGCAAAAGCTGTGGAGCAGTAGCAGTTTCACAAGGTTTCTCTGGGACTCCATGCTCAGCATTCCCTGGGAATGCCCTGCTTTTCCCAGCAAAACAGGCCAGCCCTGATCCTTTGACCACATGTTAACCCAGTTTCCCGGGAGCCCTGACCCTGGCCAGCTCCAAAGCTGTTCATGGGCTTGGGAGTCCTCTGGGTCGATGAAACACTGCCATGAACCAGCACCAACACAAAGAGTAAAGTCAGAAGAGCTACCCCAATGCCCCATGCTGGGATTCAGTGACATTCCCTGGGATTCAAGGAATTTCCCTGACAGCAAGCTGCTACCAAGAACTTGAAAATCAATATCTGTGTTTATTTAGGTGTTTATTTATTGTTATGTCTTGCTCTTTCCCCAACTCCAAAGCCAATTTCTACTTCCTGGAGGGAGCCCTTGATGCCCTGCTCTGTGGGAACAGCAGTGATGCCGGGTGAGTGCAGTCCCTGCCAGGGGCTGGGGGACCCTCTGGATCCCTGGGAGGGGATGAGGGAGGTGTTGCAGCCAGCTTGGGATAGGACAGCGTTGGGGCTGGGAGTGTTTTCTGTAGGCAAACAGTCTGGGAATCTCAATGGATCAGCTTGGGGTGGGGGTATCAGTCTGGGCATCCCAATGGTATCTGTTGGAGCATTCCAGTGGTGTCAGCTTGAGCAGATATGGATCCAGGCATCCTGACCATATGAACTTGGGTGGTTATGAGTTGGAACATCAGTTTGGGGGAGTATCAGTCTGGTCATCCTCACTGTAACAGCTTTGGTGGGGGGGTTGGTCCAGGTACCCTGGTGGTATCAGCTTTGGGGAAGGTGGTATCACAGTCCAGGCATCTGACTGTCTCAGTTTTGGGTGGTATCACTCCAGGCATCCCAACTGTATCAGCTGGGGTGGGGGGTGGTTATTGATGGGAGCATCCCAATGGTATCAGCTTGAGGTGGTATTTCTCAGGGCATCCTGACTGTACCAACTTTGGGGAAGGTGGTATATATCAGTCCAGGCACCCAAACTTATCAGCTTGGTGGGAAGGGTCCCCCTGGTGCATCTCCACATCTCCAGGGCTGGAGGGTTTGGCTGTGGGTGCCAGAAGGGGCAGTTTGGGGGGCTCACACCGGCTGCCCCCACGGCTCCTTTGGCAGGAAGTGCCCCGAAGGGTACGAGTGCATGAAGGCAGGGAGGAACCCCAACTACGGCTACACCAACTACGACACCTTCAGCTGGGCTTTCCTGGCCCTCTTCCGCCTCATGACACAGGACTACTGGGAGAACCTCTTCCAGCTGGTAGGCACCACATTTCTATCCTTGTGCAAGAGCTCCTCTTGTTTCAGTGCTTGCCCCTGGTCTGAGACAGGGGAAAAGTCATTGACTGGAAACCTGTGGGTCTTTGTCTTGTGGTTTATGGACCCAAGCAGGATTGGCAGAGGTGGTGCATGTCACATCCAGTTTCTCTGACCTGAGAGTGCAGTTTATTTTTCAGGGCAAAGCCCAGGTGTCCTGCAGTGGTGCTGTCAGCTCTGCCATAGAAATCAGAGTATTTAATAAGGGTATTTATTGCAGCTCTGGCTTGAGCTGAGGGAGAGGGTAAGGAGGACAAGACATGTCACTTGTCCCCTCATTGAGTCATCCTCTAGGGAGACACCACAAAACCTGTTTCCAGAGGCTGTTCAGGTAAAAGAAATCCTATGTCTAAAGCTATCCCTGTCTTCTGGAAAGGATTATACCCAGATCCAGAGTGAGAAAAGGACCACCTTGTCCCAAGTGTGGGACCTGAGAAGCTGGGGGCTGAGGGACATCAGCCCCTCACAGCAAAGCGAGTCAATGATGAAATCCTGTCCCATCTCCACACACACTCACAGCCCTGGGCACAAGGGGGATGTGCTGAGACTTATGGCTGCTTCCCACAACTCCCAACCCAGTGCCACAGGTCGCAGGAAGGTCCTCTGGGCAATGACCAGCCCCTTGGGGAAGATGGGAACAAAACATTTTCCTCCTCCCGCAAATGGGAGGGTGTCCCACTGCAGGACATTTGGAAGCACTGCCAAAGCCACACCTTGACAGCCCTGCCTCCTGTCCCCACAGACACTGCGTGCAGCAGGGAAAACCTACATGATCTTCTTCGTGGTGGTCATCTTTCTTGGCTCCTTCTACCTCATCAACCTCATCCTGGCAGTGGTGGCCATGGCTTACGCGGAGCAGAACGACGCCACGCTGCTGGAGGAGCAGCAGAAGGAGGAGGAATTTCAGCAGCTCATGGAGCAGCTGAAGAAGCAACAAGAGGAGCAAGAGAAGATGGTCGGTGGGAAGGGTGGAGGCCGAAATCTCGGGAATGGGGGAGAAAAAGGGAGGCGGCAACAAGTGTGGTGGTGCTTCAGTTTATGTGAAATCCGAGCGTTTGGTTGATAGGAAGGGAAGATAAGAACTGAGTAATCCAGATAGATTTTTTTTATCCTGTGGGGTAAAAAAAAAACAAAAAAGAAGGCTGAAAATATTTAATTTCCACATCCAAATCCCAGGATGGGGAGCACAGGGAGGCAGCAGAGAGGAGCAGCACAGAGGGGAGGTGTTGCTTGAGAGGAGGTGGTGAGGGACAAGGCATAAATGTCATTAGAACTAACAATGAATCTCCTTGGAGTACATCAGGGAGCTAAGGCACAGTGTCATCAGGGTTGCAAAGGTGGTGCCCAAGGAAGATGGGGCAGCTGCAGCAAAGCTAAATGTGTGTGCAAAACGTTTGCTTTGGCCTGGAGACAGCACAAAGGGCTTGAGAGACCCTGAGTCTCACTGGGGAAGTTCTGGTGCCCTCACAGTGTCCTCATGGGAGCCGAGGAAACCTGGTATGGTGGGAGGTCTCCCTGCTCATTGCAGGAAGGTTGGAAATGAATGCTCTTTGAGGTCCTTTCTTCAAAGCATTCTGGGATTCCACAAATATCAGGTTGGAAGAGTCCTCCAGGGTCATCTGTTCCAACCTTTCTTGGCAAAAGCACGATCTGGACAAGAGACATCTGCTCTGTTGTGATCCCAGGGTGTTACCTTAGCCCCTTTTTGGTCCTTGGGTGTGTATTTTCAGCACAATGTGCTTGTAAAAACATGGCCAAAAGCCTCTGCGATGTCTGGTACTGCAGCCCAGCCATTTTCCATCCCTAATCATCGTTTTGATCCATGTCAGCAACATCCACAGGAGCCATCCCTGCAAATCTGTTAGTTTTGGGCAAAACACCAGCTCCCTTGCATGTAGGGAGACACAAAACAATGTCTGACTGTCTCTAGAGCTTATCTGTGCTGAGCCACAACATCCTCTGAGGAAGTGGCTTGTTTTTATCCGGTTGCTCCTGTTTGCAGGATGGGGCTGAGCAAGCCCTGCCCGAGGGACTCCGGGTCAGGCTGAACAAATTAACCAGGAGTTGGCCAGAGGCTTTATTAAGGGTTGTTTTTCCTTCCTAGTCACACAGACAAATTTAAAAAGACAGAGAGAATAAGGCTGAGTGTGAGGGCAAAGCACCTACGAGAAATGGGGGCTCGGATCTATTTAATGTGCCCTGACTGAGAGTGGAAACTGTGTTGGAATCTCAGCAACGTGCAGGGGCAATAGAGATGCTCCCAGTCCTCTGTGGCATCCTTAGGGTGTAGTAAACTTCAGATGTTAATAGCATTGTCAGAAAGAAAAAATAAAAATAAAAAATTCCACGTGCAATAATAAGACACTCGGGGGAAAAAAAGTAATTAAATTTTGATCCAAACATTCCCAAATTCAGTGCAAGCCCAAAAATCTTGGGGATCACACTTCAGAACTATCTTTGAAGATTTTTCTGCTTTCCCATTTGGAATGAAAGCATGTTTCAAAGGCTAAAGTTTCCTGCAAGACAGGACTGAGAAGGTTTGCACAATTTTGTCCTTATGAATTATTCCTCCTGACCAAATTTGAACAGATTTTAATTCATCTGTGAAAAGTGAAAGGGAAAGGCCTGGAACTGCTGGTGAGCTACTGCAAAGAGGTGTAGAATTGCAGAATGGTTTGGGTTGGAAGGGACCTTAAAGCCCACCCAGTGCCACCCCCTGCCATGGGCAGGGACTCCTTCCAACAGCCCAGGGTGCTCCAAGCCCCATCCAACCTGGCCTTGGACACTTCCAGGGCTGGAAGGGGTTTTCCCAAGCCCTCCACAGCCCACTGTGGGACATTCCCGTGGGCTGTGGCCAGGGGGGTGATGGGGCTGTGTGTTGTTGTGCAGTTGCAGGACAGGAGGTCCAGCAGCGATTCCCTGCCCAGCAGCGTGGCCGAGAAGCAGCAGAAGGAGCACGACTCAGACGTCAACAGTGACCAGGACAAGGCAAAGGACTGCAACGGGCAGGTGATCCCCAAGATCACCCTGCAGAGATCCGATACGGTGATTGATGTACGTGCCTGGCCCTGCCTCTGCCATCCCCTGAGGGTGCCCACCCTGACAAACCCCCCTGGAGGGACAGGCTTGTGCCCAGGTCTCTCCACCCTGTGCCCTTTTTTCTGCCTGCTGTCCCTTCAGTGCATTAAACAGCTCTGCATCCATCCCTCCTCTCCTCCTAGTTCAACCCAACTTCTGAGCCGGAGAAACAGGACCACAACCACCTCAGTGTGGGCAACCAGGACGGGCCAGGGCTCGAGAAGAGGGTGGGAAGTGCCATCAGTGTCATCTCCAACGCTGTAGAAGGTACATTTCTCCCAGCCTGGGTGAGGGCTGTGGGTGCCCTGGGGTGTGTGTTGGTGGGTTTGGGTTGGTGATAGTGGCTGTCCCAAATCCCCAGCCCCAGGCAAGGGATGACTCTGGGCCTGGGGTCTCCATACAGGGTCAGGGCACTGCAGTGATGCCTAAGCAAGGCTTTTCATCCTATCTCACTCTGATGGTGCCTGGAAGCAATAGTCCAATATCTCACACAAATTAGGGATTACAGTTCATTGGAGGAGTCTCCAGAGCCAATTTCCCAGGAGCTGCTGTTTCAGCTTCAGCAAAAAATACCATAAACTCAGCAGCACCAGGCTCTGTCCCCCCTGAGAATGGGCACAAAACCCTATGGCCACCCCAGAGGAGTTCCCTTGGATGTCCCTCCAATCTCAGTGTGGCAGGGACACCTCAAATTCTGCCCAGGGGCTGAGAGCAGGATTGGACCAACAGTTCCCTGACTGATCTGCTTTTCCATCCCTCTCCAGTTTGGAGGGTCGAGTCTGCAACCTCACTGTGCCTGGGCATGGGAGGACTCCTCCTTTTGGGACCCCCCCATATTAAACTCATAGGGGTCCATCACCAGGGTGAGGACAGGATCATCCTGCACTGATGTCGTTGTCCTTTCCTGCCCTCAGAGCTGGAGGAAGCTCACCAGAAGTGCCCGCCCTGGTGGTACAAATTCGCCCACACATTCCTGGTCTGGAACTGCTGTTATCCGTGGGTGAAGCTGAAGGAGTTTGTCAAGCTGGTGGTGATGGACCCCTTCGTGGACCTGGGCATCACCATCTGCATCGTGCTCAACACGCTCTTCATGGCCATGGAGCACTACCCCATGACAGAGGAGTTTGAGAACGTGCTGTCTGTGGGGAACCTGGTAGGCAGCTCTGGGCAATCCATCCTTCCCATTGAGAGGCACAGCAGCCCCATCTCCCACCCTGTGGGCAGATATCCCCCCCACCCCACTCTGCTGCTGTTGTGGTATTCAAACAGTGTGGATTCCTACCTGAAAACACTGAGGAAGCACTGCAGGGGCCTGATCCATCATCCCTGCTCAGGGCTGGGCTCCAGGATGGTCCAGATCAAGGGAATTGATGTGGGGGTGGGATCCATCATTCCCTGCTCTCCTCCTGCTGCGGCCTCTGCCTGCCTTGGTGCGTCTCCAGTGTGGCCATGGCCTTGCAGAGCCCTTCTGAGCCATCCTCTACATCACAACCCAGGGTCAGGCACGAGCTGCTGCCAAGCCCTGGCTGGCACCACGCTGTCCTCGTGATGCTGGGTGGCCACAGGGCAGAGAGGGGGCATTGGAGATTGTGGGAGCAAACAGGTCTCCACTGAGCAGGAAGAAAGAATGCTGGCAGCACTAAAAATAATAATAATCAGGGCTTTTCCTGGTGAAATCACTGCAAATCTGAGCTGTCCTGATTTTATAGGTGCATTTAACACCCAGCTGTGGCTGCTCCTGCTCCGAGCTCAAGGCAAATGGCTTTCAGCTGGATGGAATCTGCTGGTGGGAAAAGACCCCTGGTAGTAGTGGGAAATGCATTAAGGGACGGGAGAGCTCCCATCTCTTCTCCTCTCCCCTTGCCCTGCTCCAGCACTTGCTGAGACCTCTCTGAGCACAGGCCCTGGAGTGACAGATGCCAGTGGCTGTGCCCAGGCGGGCAGGACGCCGTGCAGCACATTTCTGCTTTGTCTCTGATTTCAGTCAGGAAATACAAGGGGATTAATGGGCTGGTGCTCAAGGCACGGCCACGCTGCAGGATGGCTCCAGCCCTTCCTTTGGCCCAGCAGCTTTTCTGGCTGGGGATGGTTTGCTGGGAAAGGGCCAGGTAGGGATGGGAGCAGGAGAAGTAGCTCCCACTGAGATGTGGTTTCCCCCCACCAGATTTCCTGTCTGTGCCAGAATTAAAGCTGCAGTGCTGCTGCCTGAATCATGCAGGCTGTAAAGGACAGGAGCAGGGATCAGCTGGCAGGAGCAGAACAGGGGGTGTTTGTGGGCTGGCATTCAAAGGGCATGTGGGGACCACCCCCTGGGATGCTGGAGCAGGAACAGAACAGAGGATGTTTGTAGGCTGGCACGCAAGGGGCATGTGAGGACCATCCCCTGGGATGCTGGAGCAGAAGCTGGGATGTTACAGCCTTTCCTCCCTGCCCAGTGGAGGCACAGAGCTGTGTGTCCCAACACCACCCACAGCCAGGCCAAATCTGTCCCCAGGCCCCTCTGCACGTGCTGTGTCATGGAATTGTATCAAGGATGGCAATTGTCACTTCGCTGAGCCCTCTCTGGAGTAACGTGATAATTCACAGAGCTGTTGTAGTCCCAGGGAAGGAGCAATGTGTAAAATCTACATCAGCTGTCACAAGGCTCAGGGAGGGACAGGGGCATCCCAGTAGCAGCCCAGTTCCCAGTGCTTGGTGTCTGTGATTCACCAGTTATTCAAAAGGGGTCCCTTTGCCAGTGAAATTTTTATTTTTAATTCCCAACTGCTAACTCGCACCTCTGTGTCCCTCCAGAAGAAATCAGTCACCAGTACTCCCAGTCTGGCTTCACCAGCCACACTGGGCAGCAGCTGGGGAGCTTGTTCCCAACTGGGACTGGACCTAAAGGGGCAAAATTCTTTGGGAATACACCAAAAAAAGAGAAGTGCTGCCCTCCCCCTTCCCCAGGGCTCTGCACTGGTTTACAACCAAAGTGACAGGGTGCTGCTTCCCACAGGTCTTTACAGGCATCTTCACTGCAGAGATGGTCCTGAAGCTCATTGCTCTGGATCCCTACGAGTACTTCCAGCAGGGCTGGAACATCTTCGACAGCTTCATCGTCACCCTGAGCCTGGTGGAGCTGGGCTTGGCCAACGTGCAAGGGCTCTCCGTGCTCCGCTCCTTCCGCTTGGTAGGTGCCAGGGAGGGACTCTCAGTGCCCGGGGGTTGTGGATGTGAGTGGCACCAGGGTGGAGATGGCTTGTTCAGCCTCCTTTGTGATGGTCACCAGCTAAAGGTAACACTGAGAGTCAAGCTAAATGTTTAGGGGAGTCAGTCTGTGCTCCTCCCAGAGTGTTTGACCCCTCCTGCCTTAGTAAAACAGCCACGTGGAGGTGTGATGGCAGCGTCACAGCCTTGCTGGCAGCCTGTTGGTAACATCAGCCCCAGCCAAACCAGCGCCCCCTCCAATCCAAACCAACACCTCCCCTCCTTGCTCCCCCCACAGCTGAGGGTCTTCAAGCTCGCCAAGTCCTGGCCCACCCTCAACATGCTCATCAAGATCATCGGCAACTCCGTGGGCGCCCTGGGGAACCTCACGCTGGTGCTGGCCATCATCGTCTTCATCTTCGCCGTGGTGGGGATGCAGCTCTTCGGGAAGAGCTACATGGAGTGCGTGTGCAAGATCTCCGTGGACTGCACCCTGCCCCGCTGGCACATGCACGACTTCTTCCACTCCTTCCTCATCGTCTTCCGCATCCTCTGCGGGGAGTGGATCGAGACCATGTGGGACTGCATGGAGGTGGCCGGCCAGACCATGTGCCTCATCGTCTTCATGATGGTCATGGTCATCGGGAACCTCGTGGTGAGCCTCGGAACTGGGGGGGAAGGTGGGGGGCAAGGGCAGAGGGTGTGGTGGGGACAAGAGTCGCAGAGTCACAGAATCACAGAATCAGTTGGGTTGGAAAAGACCTCTGAGGTCATCGAGTCCAACCCATGACCTAACACCACCACCTTGTCAACTAGACCAGAGCACTGAGTGCCACATCCAGTGTCTTCTTAAAGACCTCCAGAGTTGGTGACTCCACCACCTCCCTGGGGAGCCCACTCCAATCCCAGTCACTCCTTCTGTGTAGAACTTCTTCCTACTGTCCAACCTAAACCTCCTCTGGTGCAGTTTAGGACTGTCCAGCTCAGCTCATCTACAGGGCTGGTTGGAGCTGGATGGGAGCACAGGAACAGGGCTCCACCTCCCTCCCACGGGCCTGGTGGGACGTGCTATGTGTCAGCCCTGTGTGAAACAGGGTGGGAAGCGATTTCTGAGGGACCTTCAGCTGAAACCAGAGCAGGGACTGAAGGGAAAACTGAGGCACAGAAAACAACAACGGGCTTTAGGCAGAGGCAGGAGCAACTCTGGGACAAAAGAGAGCTCAGCTTCAAGCTGCCTTTCTTCTCCACTTGGCTTTTCAGGCTTCCCTCCCTGCTTCCCACTCTCCTGCAGTAAGGGATGGAGGCAGAGCTCTAATCCAGCACATCCCAACACTGGCCCTTTGTTTTTTGGCAGCAGCCTCCCCCGCCCAAATCTCTTTGCAGATTCCCAACATTCCCAGTCCTCACCTCAGCCCAGGAGGTGATACACAACCCCTCTGCACCTCCTGCCGTGGGTCCTGGTCCTCATCACCCCCTCCCTGCCCACCTCCCTCCCTCCCCACTAATCCAAGCTGCTCACTGCCTGCCCGGCAGGTTTGCGAGTTCCAGGAGAGCGTGAAATCCTTTCTAAACTTGGTAACCCTCTCGCTGGCAGCTTTGACTCTTGTTTTCCAGCCTGCGTGGGCCCTGCTCTCCCTTCTTGAGGAGCGGGGCAGGGGAGGGGAGGGCAGCGGCCGCCTGCCCGGATCGCTCCTGTTACTTGCCGGGGTTGTGTAAGCCTTTTGGAATTTGCTTTGAAAAACTATCTGCCCCGGGGAGCTGCTGACGCCTGCGTCCCCAGGGCGGCTGGCAAAGCCCTGCAGAGGGGTGAAAGGAGCCCCAGGGAGAAACACAGAGCACCCTGTGGTGGGGGTCAGGGACTGGGCAGCCTGGAGTGTCCCGCTTCCAGGGCAGAAAGTTGGGATTTGGGTGCTGCTCATGAAAAGTATTTATTTGAGGCTTTGAACTGGTCCCCAGAGCAGGACAGAGCTCGGCCCAGGATGTCCTGGGGGTCTGTGGGTAGTGCTGGGCAGATGAAGGGAGCAGCCCTGGGCACCCCTTGAGCTGCCCATCGCCCACCATTCAGCATTTTGTGATGCCACCTTCGGAGGGGAACCCATTCATTTGGGTTGTAATGCTGAGTGAGGCTGAAAATCACCCATAAACAGCTGGAGCCTCTCCAGAACCATCTGCAGAGAGCACAGGGGACTGGGAATCACAGCTGGGCCTCTGGAGATGTTTCCTCTTCTGGAGCTTGTTTTTTGTAATAGGACAGCCCATACACCCCTCCAGGACACTCTCCTGGAAAAGGCAGGGGGGCAGCAGGGTTTTCAGCTGGTGGGGTCAGCTACAGCACTCCCACAGGTGCAGGGGTTCCCCTCCCTGAGCTGCACCCCAGCCCTGGCAGCTCCCGCCACGCTCTGTGCTGCTGCAGAGCAGAGAAACGTGGAGCACAAACACGTAGAGAGCCGTCTCTGCCCTCTTCACCCCCTCTGCCAGGCTCTCCTGGCCGTGCCTCAGGTATTTCCAAGTCCTGGAGCCTGTCCCAAGTATCCCAGAGCCTCCCCAAGTATCCCAGTGCAGGGAGGTGTGTGTTTCTCTCCGCTTCCCCTGCGGGAGAAATCAGGTGACAGGGCTGTCGTCCTTTACTGTTAATGACACTCCGAGCATTTCCTTTGGGGTTATTAAGGGAAAAGGGAGGAAGTCAGTCGTGTGACAAGGTAAGGGACTCCTGTCCAACAAAGCCAGAGCCAGCAATTAGCTGTAATTGGTACTTAAAGTAAGCATTAAACTGATGGGCCCGGGGATTTATTTAAAGACGAGGTTTAAGGCATGTGGTATGAGCCATGTGAAAGCAGCAGTGACCTTGGATAGCAGCTAATTCCCGGCTCAGATACTGCTGCTGGCACAAGAGGGCACAAACATCAACAGCTGTGGGCTGGGCCCATCTCTGCTCCACACAGAGGGTGCCTGGCTGGGTGCAGGGGTGCCTGTCCCACTCCTCTTCCCATGAGCTGCTCCAGATTTCTGGCGTGCAGGGAGTCAAACTGTGCCAGGGGAGGCCATGGAGGGGTCCAGTCACGTTTTGGGCATGGTGAAGTAGGTGAGATCCAGAGGAAGCAGCAGAGCCCGTGTTTGGAGCTGTGTGGAGCATTTACATCCCATGATCTGACTCGTGCCGAGATGAAATACTGCTTTTCACGGAGCAGAGCAGTTTCTGGGAGACAGGGATGAGGTGGGGGGCTCAGGCTCCTCTGTGGCACTGGGGTGGGGAAGACCCTGGGCATCTGAACTGCCAGGGAAGAGGAGAGGAAGAGCTGCAGCTGGTAGGACAACAAGCAGGAGATTCTCTCCCTGGGGAGAGAAATAACATAACCATAGGATCAAGAGAATCCCAGAATGGTTTGGGTTGGAAGGGAACTTAAAGATCTTCCCATTCCAACCCCCTGCCATGCCAGGGACACCTTCCACTAGACCAGGTCACCCCAATCCCCATCCAACCTGGCCTTGGACACTTCCAGGGATGGGGCATCCCCAACAGAGCTGAGCTGCATCCCTGTGGGTGGTGGGGAGTCCCACACGGGGACCAGCCAGGCCAAGAGCTCCCAGAGACCAAAGGGAGGGACACGGTGATGGACCCACAGGAAAGCTGGTTTGAGAGGGGCTGAAGCTGTGGTTGGTATCACTTAAAAATGCATCAGCAGGACCCAGGTAGTTGGGGGTCAGAGCCCAGGAGGAAGTGAGGAGGAGCATGTCCATGTCCTCCAGGAGATGAGGATGGCATCTCTGCAGTCCCCAGAGCTGGGTGAGGGGAGGGCAGAGCCCACGACACGCTCAGCGAAGGGGTTTCTCCACAGCCACAGGTGGTCCCTGTGGAGCTGAGGTTGGTGCTGGATCTCAAAACCGGTGTTTTTGGGGTTTGTGTTGTCCCCCCCTCCCCTCCCTCCCAGGTGCTGAACCTGTTCTTAGCTTTGCTGCTGAGCTCCTTCAGCGCCGACAGCCTGGCGGCGTCGGACGACGACGGCGAGATGAACAACCTGCAGATCGCCATCGGCAGGATCACCCGCGGCATCGCCTTCGCCAAGGCCTCCCTCCTCACGCTGCTCCGGCGGCTCTGGAAGGGCAAGAAGGTGGCCCCGGAGGAAGAGCAGGAGCCCAGCAAGAGGGAGAACTCCGTGCTGAACCACGTGGACGCCACCCAGGAGACCGCCAAGTCAGGGTACCTGGACGGGCTCGCCGGCAAAGAGCATATTTTCATGGATGAGCTGGACCACATGAATTTCATCAACAACCCCAACCTGACGGTGCAAGTCCCCATCGCCTCGGAGGAGTCTGACCTCTACGAGGAGACCAGCACCCAGTCTGAAACCGAGGACACCACCAAGGTGAGGAAGGCAGGTGGGAAGGTTTCGCCCAGAGCCAGGGATTGCCCCCGTTCTTGCTGTGCTGCTTAAAGAACGATGCTTGTTTGAGTTACTTTTTGCTTTCCCACGGCGTGCGGCAGGAGCCAAACTTGGGGTTTCCCAACCTGGCATTTCCCAGGTGTAAGCTGGAGTTGGGGGGTCGGGTCCAAGCCAAGAGGTTTGGCCTGTTTGGGGTCAGATTATGGGGTTTTTGCTAATGCCAGAGGGGCCCTCACACATCAGGGGTGGTGCAGGGGTCAGTTTGGGGTTAAAGATGTTCCAGAGGAATCTGATGCCAGTAAATCTGCTGATGGCACTATCATTGGATCCACTGCTAATGCCTCCAAAAGCATCATCGGGGGGGGCCATGGAACCAGATGGAGGAGCTTAGCAGGAGTGAACATGAAGCGATGCAGGTTGGATCCAAGGCTGATGAGACAGCTGAGGTCAGCACTGAGGTGTGGGGGGAGCTGTCAGGGTTCATGGGACACTGATCACCTCACTGGGAGGGTGGCAGGGGGACATTGAGACAAGAAACTCAGGAACAGTGGACACAGAAAGGAGGGTGATGGTCTGATGGGAAACTGCTGCTCACACCAAAGTGTTGGGGAAACGTGGGGAGGATGAGGGTGCTGTGATGGAGAGGAGCAGATGCATCAATCTGGAAAGGGGTTTCATAGGAATAAAAGAGCAGTTCTGACGGGTTTGTCATGACTGTCAATGCAAAAGTGTCTGCCCAGGAGCTGAGGGGCCTGTGGGAAGCTCTGTCCCAACTAGTCCTGCTGTGTGCCAGGGTAGAAGGCAGCAGGGTGCTGCTGAGCACCTGGATGTGACTGCACAGGGAGCCCAGGGAGGGCTGGAGAACGAACCAGAGTTCCTAAAATGCTGGAGCCTCTCACCTCCCCCCATCCACAGGAATGCATCTCTCAACAACTGAACACCAGTTCAGACCATTACTGCTGCTGGGTTTGGTGGCTTAATCCAGTCAAAGAGATGTGCAAGCCAAGGGGGTGCCCTAACAACCTGATCCCCACCCAAACAGGCAGGGTGGGCAAAGGCACTTCCATAGCATTGCCAAATGGTTTGGGTGGGAAGGAGCCTGAAAGACCACCCAGTCCCACCCCCTGCCATGGGCAGGGACACCTTCCACCAGCCCAGGTTGCTCCAAGCCCCGTCCAACCTGGCCTTGAACACTTCCAGGGATCCAGGGGAAGCCACAGCTTCTCTGGGCAGCCTGTGCCAGGGCCTGCCCACCCTCACAGGGAGGAATTTCTCAACAGTATCCCATCTATCCCTGCCCTCTGGCAGTGGGAAGCATTCCCCCTTGTTGTGTCCCTTGAGGCCCTTGTCCCTCCCCAGCTCTCCTGGAGCCCCTTTAGGCACTGGAAGGGCCTTTGAGGTCTCCCTGGAATCCTCTGCCTTTTAGCCAGGCAGAAAGGGACCTGGGAGCCTGGATTGACAGGAAGCTGAACATGAGCCAGCAGTGTGCCCAAGTGGCCAAGAAGGCCAATGGCATCCTGGCCTGGATCAGGAACGATGTGGCCAACAGGTCCAGGGAAGTGATTCTTGCCCTGAACTCAGCACTGGTGAGGCCACCCCTCAAATGCTGTGCCCAGTTCTGGCTCCTCAGGTCGGGAAGGACATGGAGGGGCTGGAGCAGGTCCAGAGAAGAGCAGCAAGGCTGGGGAAGGGACTGGAGCACAAGTGCTGTGAGGAGAGGCTGAGGGAGCTGGGGATGTTGAGCCTGGAGAAGAGGAGGCTCAGGGGAGACCTCATCACTCTCTGCAGCTCCTGACAGGAGGTTGCAGCCAGGTGGGGATTGGTCTCTTCTCCCAGGAACCAGCAGTAGGACAAGAGGGCTCAGTCTAAAGCTGTGCCAGGGGAGGTTTAGGTTGGATATCAGGAAGAAATTCTTTCCAGAGAGAGTGCTCAGCCATTGGAATGGGCTGCCCAGGGAGGGGGTGGATTTTCCATCCCTGGAGGTGTTTAAGGTGAGACTGGATGTGGCATCAGTGCCATGGGCTGGAAAGTGTGGTGGTGTTGGATCAAGGGTTGGACTCGATGATCTCAGAGGTCTTTTCCAACCCGGCTGATTCTCTGATTCCGTGATTCTCTTCTCCAGGCTGAGCACACCCAGCTCTCCCAGCCTGTGTATATATAAGGTGAAATTAGAAATCAGGTCTAATTGGTGGGAGCCCCGAGCTGGCCCCTGGGGAGGGTTGGTGCCAGCCGGCTGTGCTCACATGCCGGAGATCAGCTCCAGGTGGAGCCAGAGCCCAGCACACCGCCTTGTACCAAGGACAGCCCACCGTGAGGACCGAAAACCGGGGGGGTTTCTCTGGATGGGCTGCTCAGAAGATGCTGACAAATGCTCTCCCCCTTCCAGAGCAGCTCCTTTGCCAGACAAAGATATTTTTCAGGGTGAAATGAGAGCGGCAGGACCCTCGCGGCTGCTCTGCTCGAGCACTTTGGCATCTTCTGGTTACCTTTTGCAGCTCATCCTGCTGGGCAGGGTGATGTGTCCTGGGATATGATGGGGGCTGTCAGTGGAGCTGAGGGAGCTGGAGGGGCTCAGCCTGGAGAAAAGGAGGCTCAGGGGGGACCTTCTGGCTCTGCAATCCCTGACAGGAGGGGGGAGCTGGGGGGGGTCGGGCTCTGCTCCCAGGGAACAGGGACAGGAGGAGAGGGAACGGCCTCCAGCTGTGCCAGGGGAAGTTTAGGTTGGATATTGGGAAAATTTCTCTGCAGAAAGGGCTGTCCAGCCCTGGCAGAGCTGCCCAGGGAGGTGGTGGAGTCCCCATGCCTGGAGGGATTTAAAAGCCCTGTGGGTGTGGCACTTGGGGACATGGGTCAGTGGTGGCCTTGGCAGTGCTGGGGGGGGGGCTCAATAATCTCAGAGGGGTTTTTCCAATCCGAAAGGACCTGCCCTGAGCACCAACCACAGAGTTCCTGGGTTCCATGAGCTGTCCAAGTGCCCCTCTAGGGACAACCTTCCCCCCATCTCCAGGGTGGCTGGCTCTGGTTTGTCCCCACCTCATCCCTTTGCAGGGCTGTCCTGGAGGCAGGTGGTGTCCGTGTGTCCTTCCCCGGGGTCACAGCTTGCCTGGCCCCGTGCTGAGGCCTCCTAATCCCCTTGTCCCTCCTCTCCCCTCCTCCAGCCCCAGCAGAGGGTGGTCCCACTGATCCTGGAGAGCCACCAGCTGATGGTTCTCATGCCACCCCCACTGCTGTGTCCTGCTCCTCCAGGCAGTGTCCTGCGTGTTCCCAAAGGGTCCCCCAAAACAACATCTTCTCGTGGAGATGTGGCTGTGGCCGCTGAAGCTGCAGGCAGTGACAGTGCCTCAGTGCCCTCCAGGGGCTCCTCCCTGGTTTTTGGAGGATGGAGCAGCTCTTTTATGGACTTCCAAAAGCACGAGCAGCCTCGGGGGAGGATTTTCTCCTTCCCACCAAAGCCAACACCGTCCTGTGTTGGAGATACCTATCCAAGATCTTCTAGTTCCTGCTGCTCCCAGGTAGGACAGGCAGGGCTGGGGATCTGCTCTTCATTCAAGTGCTGCAGAAGGTCTTCCCGGAAAACCAAAAAAACCCTGAGGAAAAAGAATCCCCGGGGCTTGCCAAGGTTTTCTCTTGTTATCAGCCCCTCTGGGCCTTGCTGAGTGGTGTCTGGGAAGCCTGCCAAGCTGAGCTGTGGAGCAGGATGGAGCTGGAGAGAGGTATTTGGGGTGCAGGTTTTGAACTTGGGTGAACCTCAGGCAAAGGGCCCTTCGGCACGAGCCGGGCCGGCAGGATGTGAGAGAAGTGCCACGGTGGCTTCTTAGGTTTCTGTGGGTCTTATTGCACCAAAGGGGGTTTGGCAGAGGAATTCTTGGATGGGGGATGCAAGGAGGAGGAGGAGGAAGAGAGAAAATCAGCCTGAGGTGATGGTACAAGTAGATGGGAGGTGGAGTTGCTGTGCTGGGAGGAAGGCTGTGGTAAGGGGACCTTTTGCTCCTCTGAAGCTGGATGAAAAGTGAAGCTTGTGAAAGCTCAAGTACCAAAACCCTCCAAGGTTTGCAGCCCTGGACAATTCAACCGCTTCACTCTGGGCTGTGTTTCCATAAGGGAGGGACTTGGGGCATCCTCCAAACCACGGGGTCCCACCAGCCAGCTGTCCCGCTACTGCAAGGTCTCTCTGGGGGCAGGAGGAGGGTGGCTGGAGGCAACCAAAGCCCAGGAGTGTCCCTCCTGCAGGGCAGCCCAGCCTGAATCCTCCTCTCCCTCTGCAGAACCCCCTGAGCAGCGACAACGCCTCGTCCCTGTGCAGCACGGTGGATTACAAACCCCCCGCGCCCGAGGAGGAGCAGGTGGCAGAGGTGGCCGAGGAGAGCAACGAGCCCGAGGAGTGTTTCACCGAAGGTGAGGGACCAAGCAGGGCAGGAGACCCTGTGGAGAGGGGCAGGGGGGTGTGGAGAGGGCCAGTGCCAACCAATTCTTGCAGCATAAGGACCCCCCCAGGCTCACTGAGCTCGGCCCAAACTCCAAATCCTCCTGTGCTCCCCCAGAGGTGATCCCCATGGGCCCCAGTTTGAAATGCCAATAAACCAGGAGTAATGTCTCGTTTGGAGGTGACCCCCAGCTCTGTGTCCCAACCCCCAGGCTGCGTGAAGAGGTTTCCCTGCCTCTACGTGGATGTCACCAGCGAGAAAGGGAGGGTGTGGTGGAACATCCGGAAAACCTGCTTCCGCATCGTGGAGCACGACTGGTTCGAGACCTTCATTGTCTTCATGATCCTCCTCAGCAGTGGGGCGCTGGTAGGTCCCAGTTTGGTTTGCTCTGGTCCCATTGGCTCTGCAGCAGCTTCCCAGCCTGGGAGGGCGCAGGGAGGTGGGCAGGGCCCAGGCTCTGGGTGTGTCCTGGTTGTCTCCCGTGCCAGATCGCCCAGCTGTGGGCAGATCTCTGATGGAAAAGCCCGTTTGGCTCAGGTCTGTCCCATGTGCAGCCTCGCAAGGGGATCTAAACATACTCTTTTAAGAGTTCTGGTGTGGCCACCCCTTCCCAGCATGGCTGTTGGTCTGTGGGCTCGAGGGATGTGACTGCAGCTCCTACTCCAGTTATCAATGTCAACCACAAACTATCATCTTCTGCACCTTCTACTCGGCCTCATGTGGGTGGTTCCTCCTTTCACCGCTGCCACCACCGGCTGTTGGGAAGCGCTTGACAAAAAAATTCACGGTTATCATGGGGCTGTTCAGCACCTCCAGCCACTGAGTGGTGCCCCTTCCCAGCTGGGAGGGCAGACTGGGGAATGAGATGCTGGAAAGCAGTGCCAGGGAACGGGCCCTGGAGGTCCTGGTTGATGGCAAGTTGTCCCTGAGTCAGCAGTGCCCTGGCAGCCAGGAGGGCCAACCCTGGCCAGGGAGGGGATTGTCCTGCTCTACTCTGCCCTGGGGAGCCTTCATCTGCAATATTGGGGCAGTTTGGGGTGCCACAATATAAGGAAGATACTAAACTATTACAGAGTGTCCATGAAGAGGTGAAGGGCCTTGATTTGAAGCCATGTGAGGACACTGAGGGCACTTGGTGTGTTCAGCTGGAGAAGACTGAGGGGAGATCTCACTGCAGTTCCAACTTCCTGGGTAGGGGCAGAGGAGGGGCAGGACTGAGCTCTGCTCTGGTGAGCAGGGACAGCACCCAGGGAAGGGCTGGAGCTGTGTCAGGGCAGGCTCAGGTTGGATCTCAGGGAAAGGTTCTTCCCCCAGAGCGTGGTTGGCACTGAACAGGCTCCCCAGGGCAGTGGGCACAGCCCCAAGGCTGCCAGAGCTCCAGGAGGGTTTGGATGACCCTATGGGGAGCAGGTTGTGACTCTTGGGGATGGTCCTTTGCAGGGCTGAGGGTTGGACTCGATGATCCTTGTGGATCCCTTCCAACTCAGCATGTTTTGTGATTCTGTGACCTGGGTGTCCATTTAAATCAACCTCATTAATAAGCTGTGTGTCAGCCCGTTGGCCCTCTGTGAGTTTTTGGGCTGGATGTAACCCAGAGACCCCTGGAAATACCAACCTCTCTGCAGGTTTGGAGGTGAAGGGAGAGGGAGGGAGAACAGAGGGGACTGAGGGGGTTTTCAGACATACTTTACATGTCTGCATCGCGCTCTGAGGTGCAGTTTGGGGATGTCTGAGGTTGTAGCTGGTGCCGGAATTGAAAGCTGTGCTAACCCAGCTGTGCAGCACCCGCTCACCACGCCCGTACCTCTGACTGCTCACACTTCACACGCCAGGGGGGTGTAGCAGTCACCCAAACTCCTAAGGGCGTTTTCAAAGCATCCAGAGGCGTGGGTTGGTGTCCTTGGCTTTTGACTTCAGATGGGCAGGAATTTGACGCAGCTGGACTTTTGCTTTGAGTCAAACACCGCCCCACAAAGCCAGCGGGAAACTTGCCAACAAGAGTTAAGGCCCCAGGTTGATCGGGGACACCAATAAATGCCACCCATCATTAGGCTCTCAACTTCCCCGCGCTTCCCCAAGCCCTGAGAAAGCAGGTGTGGGTGTGGCTGCCCCGGGAAGCAGTGGGTCTAATGGAAGAATGACTGTCACATAGCTCCGTGCCTCTCCCAGGCGTTCGAGGACATCTACATCGAGCAGCGGAAGGTGATCCGCACCATCCTGGAATACGCCGACAAGGTCTTCTCCTACATCTTCGTCATCGAGATGCTGCTCAAGTGGGTGGCCTATGGCTTCAAGGTGTACTTCACCAATGCCTGGTGCTGGCTGGATTTCCTCATCGTTGATGTACGTGATGAGCACCCCTAGAGCCAGAGCCAAGGGGTTTGGGGGCGTCAGGGGACTGTAGCAAGCTGTTGGAAATTAACCCATGTTGTACTTGAAAGGGTAATGGTGTGGCTGTGGAACAAGGGCTGAGAACATTTGTTAAAATAATGGTCCTGCACAGGATGGACCACTTCTTTCCCTGGTTGCAGAAACCCTTTCAAACCACCTGTTTTACACCAAAGCCAAGAACAGCCCATGCTGTTCAACGAGATCCCAGCAGAGACTATGAAGGGTCTCCTAAATGCTCCGTGACAGAGCAAGCTGTTCTTCCTGTGCAGTATTTCTGTGTCCCCCATCAGCTCCACCCTCACACTCAAGAGATGGGGACATCCTGCCCCTTCCATCCCTGGAAGTGTCCAAGGCCAAGTTGGACACTGCTTGGAGCAACCTGGTCTAGTGGAAGGTGTCCCGACCCATGGCAGAGGGGTGGAACTGAATGAGCTTTGAGGTCCCTTCCAACCCAAACCATTCTGGGATTCTGGGATTATTGTGGGTGGTCACCACAGACCTCAAGGACTCAATGTCCGTGTCCCAAAACTAGAGGATGGCCACCAGCCCGAGGAATTGTTGGGGAGAGAGGGAAAGGCAGGAGCTGGAGGATGTGGCTCAGCTGTGTTTCCACCTGAGATGCTGCTAATCCCTTGGGCTGCTCCTTCCAGGTTTCCCTGGTCAGCCTGACAGCGAACTGGCTGGGATACTCCGAGCTGGGAGCCATCAAGTCCCTGCGGACGCTGAGGGCTCTGAGACCACTGCGTGCCCTGTCCCGATTTGAGGGCATGAGGGTAAGTGACTCCCCTGTGTGCTGCTGGCTCTGACCTGGACGTGCAACACTGCACCCTTCAGCAGTCACCTGCACCAGGGACACATCCCAGCTGGTTTTCAGGGGCCTCCAGCCCAAAGGGATTGATGCTTTGGTCCAGTCTGAGTCCACGTGGTGCTGCTGGGGCATGAGCACATGAAGGTCCACGCCATTACCAGCCCGATACCCCCAGCCAGGTTCCTCCAGGGTCTCTTCTCGCCTCGCAGGTGGTGGTGAACGCCTTGCTGGGCGCCATCCCCTCCATCATGAACGTGCTGCTGGTCTGCCTCATCTTCTGGCTGATATTCAGCATCATGGGGGTGAACCTCTTCGCGGGGAAGTTCTACCAGTGCATCAACACCACCACGGGGGAGGTCTTCGACATCAGCGTGGTGAACAACAAGAGCGACTGCATGGCCCTCCTGCACACCAACGAGGTCAGATGGGTCAACATCAAGGTCAACTTCGACAACGTGGGCTTGGGATACCTCTCCTTGCTGCAGGTGGTACGTAACGAGGGCAGCTGCCACCTGCCAAGGGGCAGGGCAGCGTGACTGGCGTCAGGGCTGGAGTGGGATGCTGCCCTGATGCCCACACGGGGTCTATGAGCTGCTTCTTAGCTCCAAAGCTGGGTTTTAACACAAAAAAAAAATGCTACAGAGCCAAAGAGGAAAGGGATAGGGTAGAAGATGGGAGGGGAAGGTGTCAGCAGGGAGCTGCTGCAGATGACAGACAGCACCAAGCTGCAAAAGGACCCCTGCACAGCACGGGATGCAGGAGTGAGGAGGAGAGGCTCTGTCTTACCCCCCTCACCCCTTTGGAAAGTCCAGCCTGCTGTAGCTGTAGGCTGTGGAACTTTTGCACGGGGAGAGTGACGACTGGAAAAAGGGGGCACGTGTCCCCTGCAGGCGGGGAGCGAACGCAGCCGAGTTCCACGGAACTCAGCCCAGCTGAGCCAGGCAGCAAAAGGGCAACTGCTCACCACAATTTCAACAAAAATAGAGCTGTGGGCTCCGTTATGGGCCGGGCTGGGGCCGCTCCCATCGGATCCAGGCAGACTGGTGACTGCAGAATCAGACTGTAAGCCAGGCTGATTAACCTGCTTCTAAATTCAGCTTCCTCTTCGGTCTTGTTGTTCCATCTGATTCAGGAAACAAGATGTGCAGGCCTTTTGTTTAACAAATCAGCAGCAAAAGGCTGTAAAAGATGCAGTGTAGTCCCTGTAAAAGATGCAGTGCAGATCCCCACCCTGCTGGGATGGGAATCCAGCTGATTGTGGAAGCCATGGCACAGAAGTCAGGGCTGTGGAAGTGGCACAGTTTGGGAATGGGAGGGAGCTCTGCTGTTGGGAAAATGTACTTTGGTTTGGGGAGAAGAGTCAGTAGCTTCTTTTCCCAGCCTGGGTTTGCAGCAGTGTTTTGGGAAACCTTGGTAATCTCAGCCCCAGAACAGTCCATGCATCTGCACAGGCAAATCTCCCTATTTCTGCACTGGGACATTTTTCTTGTGGATTCAAATCATGTCCCTCTCCTGCCATTCCCATGGAGAAGCTGCAACTCCAGGCTGAGCAGGAGTGCCCAGAGCTAAACCCCAGAAATGCACCCATCACACTCCCTCCCCTCCCAGCCCCAAATACCTCCCAGAAAATATATTCTCCATTTTCATAGAGTCATTTAGGTTGGAGAACACTCTCAGATCATTGAATTCAACCCTTCCTGTTCCCCTCAGGCAACCTTCAAAGGCTGGATGGACATCATGTACGCCGCCGTGGACTCACGCGAGGTGAGGGGACACGCAGGGAGGTCTCACAACCAGCACCAAGGATCATCCCAGGGGTTGATTCCCCACAGCAGACTGGGAACAGGGTCCTGGAGCTGAGGTGCAGCTCAGCACAGGCTGGGATGGGTCCTCAGCTGCAGCATCACCTCTGGCTCTGCCCTTTGGTGCTGGGGGCTGCCTGAATCCCACCCCTGGCTTCAGCAAGCACGTGGGCTACAGAGTGGGGAGACCCACAAAATTTATCCTATCATGGAATCCCACAATGGTTTGGGTTTGAAGGGACCTTAAAGACTGTCCAGTCCCACCTCCTGCCTTGGGCAGGGGCACCTTCCACTATCCCAGGTTGCTCCAAGCCCCGTCCAACCTGGCCTTGGACACTTCCAGGGATGGGGCAGCCACAACGTCCCCCCTTGCTGAGGTTCACAGCCTCAAAAAGAGCAGCCAGTTGAGTCCCTGTGCCACCCATGTCCCTGTCACCTGCATCCCAGCTGCAGCCTGGCCCCCACAGCGGGCTCCCACCCCACCCAGATACAGCTGGGGCTCAGTCCACTCCTCTTGGCTTCAGTTTTGGGGTCCAAAATCCCCGCTCAGCCTGGAGGGCTCATCCTTCACCCTGCTGTGAGCTCATGCCCTCCATGTCCTCTCCAGCTGGGAGAGCTCATCCCACCCTGGAGAAAGTGCCTGGCTTGCCTTGAGCAATAAATGGGTTATGAAAACAAAGCAGCCAACATTTAACCTCTGAGTTAAATGGGTTATAAAAAAAAAACCCACAACAGCTGTTTTGAAGAGTGTCATGCAAAGGCTGTTTTACCATGATCCATCCCCAAAAGTGTCCATGTGGGCACACACTGCCATGAGCTAGTGCAGCAGGAAGGGCTTCCTACTGTCCTCTAACAAACCTAGGTGTGGGGGGGAAGTTGGGTCATCCCACACACCCACGGGCCTGAACTTATTGTTTTCATTGCCTTTTTTTAGCACCAGAAACACCCGCTCTGCTCACCCCAGCTGCTGGTGCTCAGCTTCCAGGGCCCTCTGACAACAGCTCAGGCTCCTGCCTCCCACAGCACCTGGGGCAAAGCTGGTTTGGGAGGAAATCCACCCTGTCCTGCCAAGAGCTTCCTTTGAAATGGGGGGAATCAGTGGGGCCAGCTTGGCGTGTCTCCAGCCAAAGGCAGCGCAGGATTAAGGGGTGCCCCTTGAGATGAGTGCTGCCCAAGGCTGCCAGGCTGAGCCAGCCCCAGCCCAGGCTGTGGACTCAGGGGTCAGCATTTCCTTGTCCCCCCAGACGGTGTCACATGGGTGTCCCTTCCTGTGGTTGCTCCCATGGGTGCCACTCCATCCACAGGGTCCGAAGTTGTGGAGCAGCCACCCCACGGCTCTGTCCGAACACCATGACCCCTTGTCCGTGGTTTTGGGGACAACACTTCTGGGAGAGGATTAATCTCACATTTCTTCTCTCTCCTGGACAGATTGAAGAGCAGCCACAGTATGAGATCAACCTCTACATGTACATCTACTTTGTCATCTTCATCATCTTCGGCGCCTTCTTCACCCTCAACCTCTTCATCGGCGTCATCATCGACAACTTCAACCAGCAGAAGAAAAAGATGAGTATTTTCTGGGTCCTGCAGGGCTGTTCCTGTCTGGGGTGCTGGTCCAGGATGGAGGGGACCAGCACGATGGTGGGGTGAGGGGACCAGAGCCACCAGGGCTCAGGTGGATCCCAGGACTCCTATCCATTAGTGGCTTCCTGCACTGGACAAAGGGCACACAAGGCTTTGTGTCCTGGTCATTGCATTTACACAGGGCTTAATTTATGGGTGCAGAGGGTGGAGGCAAATGGAAACTGCATTTTCTTTCTCCTGTGCTGTCACTTTTCATTTCTTTTCCCACCCTGTGACCATTTCTCAATAATTTTTCTCTGCCTCAAGTTGAGACTCAAGTTCTGCTTTCCAGCAAGTAGCACAGGACTAACACCTCAGGGGTGCTGGAGTGGGGAGGCAGCAGGAGGAAGGAACAGAACAGAGCACGTTGTTGGTGCTGAGTGAGGTCTGCAGCACATGGAGCACTGAGCCAGAGCAGAGAGCAGTGCCTGGCAGGAGCTTGGCTGGGGACCCTTGGTGGGCAGGGACATGGGCAGAGATGCTTGGTGGGCAAAGAGATGAATTCAGGAGACTAACAGCAGCGATTCCCTCTATACTTTGGAGGCAAAGACATCTTCATGACAGAAGAGCAGAAGAAATACTACAATGCCATGAAGAAGCTCGGCTCCAAGAAACCCCAGAAGCCCATCCCCAGGCCATCGGTACGTTGGGTTAATCCCCCTGGAGTGGAGCATGGAGGGAACACTTCAATCCACCAGCTGTCCCAAAGGGAATGAGAAGGATGCAGGGGTTTGAGTATTCTCCCAGCTCAGCTCCCAGCTCCTCTGTGGAAGAGAGATGGGCTTGGGGAAAGCTCAGCTTTCAAGCCCCCTGGAAGGGACACTGGTCCAGCCACTGCATTCACAGCTGAAATTTGTGTTTGGGTTTGGTAGCCCTGCACAGCTGAGGCCTTTTCCATGTGTTTATTTGTGCCCTATTAACTGTGGATATAACTAGAAAGTGACTGTTCCCCGTGCCCACAGCTCCTGATTGCCATTGGTGTTACCAATGGGCTCCATCCCGTGAGGTGCTGGGTATCCTACCCCATAACTTCTGGGGCTGTGAGAGCTGTACTGGCCACAACCCCGAGGTTTTAAGTGCTCTTTTTAAATACAGTTCTTTCTTCTCTTTCTGTTGTGTCTTTTATTCTCTGTGTGTCTCTCCTGTGTTCCCCCCTCACCTCTGGCGCTCCATCATCACCCACACGGCCCCTACGGCAGAACAAGTTCCAAGGGAAGGTGTTTGACTTTGTTACCAAGCAAGTGTTCGACATAACCATCATGATCCTGATTTGCCTCAACATGGTGACCATGATGGTGGAAACAGATGATCAGAGCGAGCTCAAAACATCTGTGCTCTACAAGATAAACCTGGTCTTCATCGTCATCTTCACCGGGGAGTGCGTGCTCAAGATGTTCGCCCTGCGTCAATACTACTTCACTGTTGGCTGGAACATCTTTGACTTCGTGGTGGTCATCCTCTCCATCTTAGGTGAGTCCTGCTGGTCCCTCCAGTTCCTCAGGGATCCCACTGGACAGTGAAGAGTGGAAATGGTCTGCTACTGGCCCCCTCTCTTACACCCACGCTTTGAGCAGGGCCAAGCCAGCAGGACCCCGAGACAAGAGGGATGTGAGGCCACCCCATGCCACCAGCTGGGTGAGGGGCTGGGGATGTCTCTCGCTCCTCCTTGGTGTTATTCCCCCTTGTCTCCATGTTGCTGAAATGGAGCAGCCAGTGTTTAACCCTTGTGTCAACCCTGTGCTCACAGTTTATTTTTCATATGTCCCCTCTGTCCCCAGAGGAGCAGAGTGTTGTGTGCCATGGCGGGTGGCCTCATCTCCCTGTGTCTGCCCAGCTCTGGCACATGGTGGTGGCTGCAGAGCAGGGCAGGCTCACCTCTCCTTCATCCCTTCCCAGGTATCGTCCTCTCCGACATCATAGAGAAGTACTTCGTGTCACCCACCCTCTTCAGGGTCATCAGGCTGGCGAGGATCGGCCGTGTCCTCCGGCTGATCCGAGGGGCAAAAGGCATCCGGACTCTCCTCTTTGCTCTGATGATGTCCCTGCCCGCCCTGTTCAACATCGGCCTCCTGCTTTTCCTCGTCATGTTCATCTACTCCATCTTCGGGATGTCCAACTTTGCCTACGTGAAGAAGGAGTCGGGGATCGATGACATCTTCAACTTCGAAACCTTCGGGAACAGCATCATCTGCCTCTTCCAGATCACCACGTCGGCCGGGTGGGATGGGCTCCTCAACCCAATCCTCAACAGCGGCCCCCCGGACTGCGACCCTGAGCTGGAAAACCCTGGAAGTTCGGTGAAAGGGAACTGTGGGAACCCCTCCATTGGCATCTTCTTCTTCTGCAGCTACATCATCATTTCCTTCCTCATCGTGGTGAACATGTACATCGCCATCATCCTGGAGAACTTCAACGTGGCCACGGAGGAGAGCAGCGAGCCCCTCTGCGAGGATGACTTTGAGATGTTTTATGAAACTTGGGAGAAGTTCGACCCGGACGCCACCCAGTTCATCGCCTACAGCACCTTGTCTGACTTTGTGGACACCTTACAGGAGCCCCTGAAAATTCCCAAGCCAAACAAGATCAAACTAGTCACCATGGATCTCCCGATGGTTGCCGGGGACAAAATCCACTGCCTGGACATCCTCTTTGCCCTGACTAAGGAAGTGCTGGGAGACTCGGGAGAGATGGATGCCCTGAAGGCCAGCATGGAGGAGAAGTTCATGGCCGCAAACCCCTCGAAGGTCTCCTACGAGCCCATCACCACCACTCTGAAGAGGAAACACGAGGAAGTGTGTGCCACCAAAATCCAGAGGGCCTTCCGGAGGTACCTGCTGAGGCGCTCGGTGAAACAGGCGTCCTACATGTACAGGCAGAGCAAGGACGAGGACGCCCTGAGCGAGGACGCGCCCGAGAAGGAGGGTCTGATTGCCATCAAAATGCAGGAGATCTATGGGAACAGTGGGACAGGGGTGGAGACAACCCCTGCCATTGGCCTCGAGCCCATTCCCAGCTCAGAGACGCGAGATGCTCCCGAGGAAGCAAAAGCTTGGGATAAGGAGCGCGTGGTGAAGGAGTCGCTGGTGTAGGAGAAGGAGCTTCCACCTCTGGCCCAGCCTGAAGAGATTTCATTTGTATCTCCTGTCCAAGAGCTCTTCCATGCACAGATCACTAGATCTTAGATATTGAGCTAATTTCAGATGTTTCAAGCAGCCACCTTTCGAAGCAGGATCTCCTCCTGGGTTTTCCAGCTCACTGCACTTGCAAAGAGTTTAATTATTTTTCTTATGAGAACTGAATGTGAAATCTGTTGTTGGTGAAAGAGAAACATGTTAGTTTGGAAATGATCTCATCACGGTAACGATGTTTTTCAGACATTAACAGAAGAGTAAGTACATTTAAGGTAATTATTTATTAATGTTATTTCACAATTAAGAGATGTTCTTGTATATTGTTCTTCCAGAGTGCAGCCAAGCAACCAGTGAAAGATGAGCCAAGTGAAATAGCATTAAGAATAATTACAGAAAACAAAAGGTTTTGTGAACAAAAATCTCCAAAGTCTTAAAGTAGCACCTTTCTTTTGAACCTTTGAATAAGCTTGTTGATTATTTTTTTGTTACCTACAGAGAAAGTGCAATTATGTCTTAAAAATTGGTTTGCATAGCCAAAACAAAGCATCTGCAGAAATGTTCTCAGGGTTAAATATCAGGTTTTCAAGGTCTCTGAATACGCATTGAAACCATAAATCATTCAGGGCTCTGTGATACGAATGTAAACACTACTTATAGTCATGTTTTTTCTCTGTTTTCCTGTTTCATCCAGATTTTGTGGCAGGAAAGCAATGGGCAAAAAGGTAGGGTTTGGAAAACCTCCTCCAAGAATCCCCAGTCTCCATGACAAAACCTTCTAGGGTTTTTTTCTAGCCCCATTGCAAGAGGAAATGTCCTGTTGGAGTGCTCTTGGCTGGCGTTCCCAATGTCCTCTTCGTTAGTGTTAATTATGGAGATGGACCCCCAGGGATCGGAGCAGGTGTTTGACTGATCCTTTCCATGAGCTGCTTCAGTGGGGTCCCTTAAATCCCACACAAGCCCCTGGGGGGCTCAATGCAATGAATGCTCCTACCAGGGTGTGAATCCCAAAATCCTCAAGCAGAGATTCCTTCCCTTGGCTGGGGCTCCAGAGAGGATCCTGTGGCACCTGCTGGGGTCTCTGTAGAGCTGGATGGGGCCATTCAGGTCCTAACCAGGAAATCTCTGGGCAGAGGAGTGTTTTCCCACGGGGAAAAAGGGTTTTGCTGCTCTTTAAACAGGTGGGCAAAAGGAAAGAAAACCAAGAAAAAAGGGCACTGGCACAGGTTGCCCAGAGAAGCTTCGGATGCCCCATCCCTGAAAACATCCAATTCCAGGTTGGATGGAACTTGGAGCAACCTGGTCTAGTGGAAGGTGTCTTTTGCCCATGGAAGGAGGGTGGAACTTTGGATTAAAGATGAGCTTTAAGGCCCTTCCAACCAAAACCTTTCCATGATTCTGTGCAAAACGCACGAAAGGCCCCGAGTTCACCTCTGACCACCTTCTGCCTTCAGAAGGGGAAAAAAAACCCACCTCATGAGATCAAACCAACCACGAACCAAAACCTCTTCCAGTTAAAACAAGGGCTGCTTCTCGAAACCAAAGGGTCTGTCTTTCTTTTTCTTTTCTTTTCTTTTCTTTTTTTTTTTTTTGTATGATTATAATTATTTTCTTTTCTCGGGCTGATTTGGGCGCTGAGCCGTTCCGGATGCCCCACGTTACGTTCAGGCTGGCCGGGAGCGGTGCTGAGCTTGCTTGTACCCACGTGTCATCCCACAGCCTTTGTGCTTTCTTTTTTCCATGTCGTTGCTCCCTGGAAGCAGCAGCCTGAGCTGGTGTCACCAGCGTTTCTGTGGGAAGCATCCCATCAGCACGGCCGTTCCCAGCCCGGGTTGCGGCTCACAACCGATGCTGCTTGTACGTCCGTGTCGTCAGTGATGGGAAAAAAAAATGCCACAGAGCGGGATTTGTGTGAGCTAAAGCCGTTTCACTTTGTACATTTCTTACAATAAACAACTGTAAATGATCTGTTATTGCGATACCAAATGTGTTGGGGTGTGTTAGAGGAGGGGGGAAATGTTTTCCCCTGGGCTGGGAGGGCTCTTGCTGGAACAGCTCGTCCCAGGGCTGGTGTAATTCAAGTTGGGAGCAGCGTGGTACCAACGCAGCCAGGGGGCTGCAGCACGGAGGAGGCACAGCCCAGGAAAGGTTTCTTTTGAAACCCAAAGCCTGATGAACAGGAATGGGGCTGGGGAAGCTGCAGCTGCCCAGCAGTGGCTCTGGACTGTGGGTTATGGGGTCAGGGTGGTCCAGGAGAAGAGGCATGAGGACACAGGACCCTCCCCACGGGACCACCAGGTCCCTCTGCATCCCATGTCATGTGTTACTGCAAACACAGGGGACTTCCAGGGGAGACCAAGCCCCTCCAGCCCAGGTCTGTGCCTGTTCCAGGGTGCCAAGAAGCCCCCAGGCAGCTCAGTGGGTGATTTGGCCACTGCCACTGCAAACCCTCTTCAGCTTGTGCCCTGCTCCTGGTTTTACCTTGCAGGGCTTTCCCAGGCACTCCCAGCATCCCAGCTCCCATCTCCAACCTCCAGAGCCTGCTAAACCCCCTCCAGCGCCCACCAAGCACGTGGGCATCCCGTTGCCTTTGCCTTGCTGGGATGTCATGGCCAGGCTCTGCTCTTCCAGCAGGACCTGGGGGATGATGGCAGCAGGGACGGAGAGACACAGCCCCTTCTCCTGCAGTGCCAGGAGAAGGCACCTCTCCCATCATCCCTCTTTCCCTCACACAGCCAGTATTTCTCTGGAAAACTTCATTTCTTCTTTTCTGTCCCTTTGCACACAAGGTGAGGCTCGAGCTGGTTCCCAGCATCGGCCAGATGCTCAGGACTGGCAAAAAAACCAGCAAACTTGCAGAAGATGAAGGTTTGGGGAGGCCCCAGGCAGTGGCACCCAGGCCCTGGGGACCAGCATGACTGGCAAGAGTACCCAAAGGTGTTTTTCACTTGAAGTCACAGCTCAGTGCTCACCCACAGCCGCTAACGTGCTGCAGCCGGGGGGCACAGCATGGAGGGAAACGGTGCTGTGCATCCAAATTCACCTTGGGGTGCCTCACTGTGCTTCCCCAGGGTCTGTCTGTCTCCAGAGGATTCACGGAGAGGGGTCTTGATCATGGAAAATGGGGTGTGAAGCACCCATGACACTCGGGCGTGGCTGGTGGCCAAGGAGGTGAGCCCTTATTTTGGCCATCTCTCCCTTCTTCTCTTCTCTTCTCCCTGGAAGTGTTTAAAAATCCTGTGGATGTGGCACTTGAGGACATGATTTAGTTGTGAACATGGGTTGACAGCTGGACTTGATCTCAAAGGTCTTTTCCAACCTTAACGATTCCATGGGTTTATGACTCTAGATTTCACTTTTCCCTGGAAGGGCAGCTGCAGGGACTCTCTGGGAGTACATCCATAAGTACATCCCTAAGTAACTCCATGAACATCCTCTGTTCCTACCCCTGCTCCAACTCTTGGCAACTGGGGCCAACATCAACCCCTGCCCATCACCTGAAGAGCCAAACACCCTGGAGGGGATCTTTGGAGCTTGGGGAAAACCCTGGAGGTCACCCCCATCCTACATCCCCCAGGGATGTGGCCAGGAAGAAGCCACATCCCACTCCCTGGGCTCATCCCCTGTGCTCATCCCAGGTTTGGCATCACCAAGTGCTTTGCAGCCGGGGCTCCTCTCCAGCTCTGCTGCAGAACCACAACAGTCCCTGTCACCCCCATCAAATATCAGCCCCACGGTGGGCACAGCCTGGGGACACGAGGATGGGCAGTGCCCAGGGACGCGGGGCTGGACGGTGCCCAGGGCGCAGGCACCTGCTGCCCCAGCGTCTGCACTGCATTCAAAACCAGCCCCGAGGGGAAAGTCCCCAGCCAGGAGGATTTACATGAGCAGGAAAGGGGCCGTCTCGCGCTGCAGCAGCAGCTTTGCCATTTTTAGGTGCCGGGGCCGGGCCGGCGGGAGCAGCCACCGTGTTTTGCAGCAGCAAAGGCTGGATGTCTCCCTGCCCCGGGGGGTGAAACATGGCTGATCTGGGCAGGAGGCTCTGGGTGCTCCAGGTGAACCTCTGGCTGCTGGCTCTGCTCACAGGTAGGCATCAGACGGGGTTTGAGCGAGGAACTGTGTGCCCAGGGATGGGATGCACTGGCACCTGTGCCCTGCTCGGGGGCTTCACCCAGCTCTGCCTTTCACTGGGTTCGTTTTAAGCTTTGCTCTGGCCTCTCTCAGTCCTGCTCTGGGCTGGAAGCCTCCCAGGTGCAGCAGAGCCTGGGGGGACAAACAGGGCTCAGGACTCAACGCCCACCTCGGGGTTTAGGTTTTGTTTCCCACTGGGATGTTGAGACAGGGCACGTTTTTGGGTGGTCAGCTGGCTCTGGCAGGAGCCCAGTGCCAAGGGGATGCAGGGCCTGCCTGGCTGTGGTTGCAGGAAAGAAGGGTTGTTGTGGTCTTTGTAACCATTTTTTGCTCTCAAAGACCCGAGGATGGGGCTGCCACATCACTGAGGCCATGGCCAAGCCACAACCCTTTGCTCTGTGGGGTTCAGTGCCTGGGAGTAGAGGAGAAATGGGACGAAAATGGCTTCTGGGGGAGATTTGTGGGCCCTGTGTGAACATCCCTGTGCTATTCCCCTTGGCATCCCCATGGAGAAGGAGTAGCTACACCCAGGATGTGACTCCTATCCCCTTCCAACAACCCTTGCCTGCTGCAGGGACACCCATGAGAACCTGCAGCAGATCCCACACATGATTCCTTGGTGGGGAAAACTTGCACCCACGGGAGGAAGGGCATTCAAAGTGTTTCTGTGTTGGCCACACAAGTCCAGTAGGGATTTGAGGTCGCAGGGTTTCAACGTGGCTCTCATGGTGACTTCAAGGGAGGAAAGGGGAAGCTCAGCCCACCCATGGCTGCAACAGAACTTCTGGTTTGGAAGGACTGTGAGGGCTTTCAGGGTGAGGAACCAGCCTGGTCTTCATTTAGAAACACCAACAGAGCATGGAGAGCAAAGCCCTGTGCCTCACTCACTGGTGGCCCCACAGGTGACAGGGACACGTACCCAGCACACAGCCTGGTCAAGGCACATCTCCCCATCCTGGAAAAAAATGAAATGGGGCTGGAAGGGAGAGTTCACCTGCAGAGATGCCAGTGCTGGAGGGGAACAGGGCAGCACAGACCTGGAAGGGGCTCTGGGGCAGGGAGAGGGGCCCAGGGCCAAGCCTGGATGTGCCTGGGGCAGGGGGTGGTCTGCAACAAGGTTGGGTTGAAGCTCAGGCTGGGGAATTGAACTCTCTTCTTCTTCTTTGTCTTCTTCTTCTTCTTGGGGGGGGAAGGGGTGGTTTGCAGCTGCCCCAACGTGCTGGGAGGTGGTGCAGCCCCCCCTCTGTGCCAGCTTCTCCACGGTGAGGTTTGGCCAATCTTCCCCAAAGGCAGAGCTGGGCACTGGAGCGGGGCAGTAAACAGGGCTGGTCCTTCCTGAGCAGCTGCAGCAAGAGGAACCGAGGCACAGGGGCACTGGAGCTGTGGGCAGAGGCACCCGTGGGGGCTGGGGGGGTCCCCACCTCACCCCGCTTCCTGCACTGCATGGCAGGCCCCACTGCTCCAGCCCACAGCCCTTGTCCCAAGGGGTTCTGTGGTTCCAGGGTCTGAGAACCCCCCTGGCCATCACAGGGCTCTGAATCCAGGGAAGGCCCAGCAGGGAAAGTGTTTCTGTTTGATTCAGAGTGGGGTGAGTGTCTGGACGCTTCCAGAGAGGCACCAGCCTCGGGACCATTAAGAGTGAAGGCAGTTTTCCACTGGGGTGTCGACCCAAAAACAACTTGGAGAAGATTCAGGAGATAGATGGAAACAGCAGGGTTTGTCCCCAAATCTGCACTGCCCCGTGTCATCTGAGCAGGGCTCTGTTGATGCTCCCCAGCACTCCACCCCATATGGAGTAGGCACAAAGGACCCATAGCACATGCCATTCCATGGGGGACACCCTCTGTAAGCTCCTGGCTGTTATCTCAGGGTTCTTCTTCTGTCTTGCAGGTGGGATCTCAGCAGACAAGAACACCACCAGCAACAGCACAGGTATGGTTCAGACCCACTGGGCTCTTCCCCTGCATGTGTCCCCAGGGTCCCTCCCGTCCCCACTGGCCATAGTCCCTGCAGGCTGTGACCTCCTCCATGGCACATCCCCAGCCCTGCACCTTCCTCTCCCTCCACAGAGCCAGATCTGTTTTGTCTTTCCTTGTTGTTTCCCTCTGCGTTTGCAGAGGATGTTGCATGAATAAGCCTTTCCTTGGCACCAGGCACTGGGTTTGTGCTACAGCACTTGTGCCATTCCCCCCCATGGGGCTCTAAGCGTGAAGTCTGCAGCCCAAAGGAGCCCTCAAACTCACCACTCTGGGACCAAAACATGGCAAAAAAACCCAAAACATGGTAAAATGCAAAAAATGTGGAAGTCTGAGAGAAGTCAGATGGGGAGATGGGGCCCAGCAACGCTCTGGGGTGCCAGCACTGGCTGTAATCTGGGAGCTGGGATTAACAAGGTGTACACAGAGAGTGGTGGGAGCAGCATGAAAGAAGTATTGGAGTGAAGCCATTCCCACAGAAAATGGAGTTTCCATGAAAAGTGTGTTTCCACCAAAAGGCTCCAATTTCGTAGAAACACAGAATATCCTTAGTTGGAAGGACAAAGACAATTCAAAGCAAAGCTGAATGCTCAAAAGCAGTATAATCCATGAAAGCAGGGAGCTCCTGGTGGGGGAGATGCTGGGGGTCTCGTGGGTGCAGGGTCTGTGACTGCCCCTGTCCCTGCAGACAGCGTGTGCCCCTCCGTGTACCAACACCCACGTTACGTGGTGGTCAAGAAGAACATGCCCGTCTACTTCGTCTGCTACTCCGACAACCCCAAAAACGTGCAGTGGTACAAGACAGCAGAGGACAGTAAGGACATTTGTGGGCTGGATAAGAACACCTCCCAGTACACCA